AACTATTTGTGCCAGCCAGAGACCAACAGTATCATAGAGAATAGTTTTATTGCCCCTAAAAAAATCACCTGTGCTTCATCTACTCATACTTCTTCCTATCCTTGAACGCCTGGTAACCACTAATCTTTTTACTGTTTTTATAGTTTTGCTTTTTCCAAAATGTCATACAGATTCATACAGTACGTAGCCTTTACAGACTTGGTTTTTTTACTTAAAAAAAAAAATCCCAAACTGTTGCCATCAAGTCAGTTCTGACTTATAATGACCCTATGAGGAGCCCTGATGGCACATTGGTTAAAGAGCTTGGCTGCTAACCAAAAAGGTTGGCAGTTCAAATTCACCAGCTGCTTGTTGGAAACCCTATGGGGCAGTTTTTCTTTGTCCTGTAGGGTTGACTATGAGTAGGCGTCAACTCCACAGCCATGGGTTTCTTTTGCTTAGCAGTATACATTTAAGATTCCTCCATGTGGGAACTGTCAGAAGTTCAAGGCAGATTCAGAAGAGGACGTGGAACGAGGGATAATCACTGCTGATGTCAGATGGATCTTGGCCAAAGGCAGAGAGAGAATACCAGAAAGTCGCTTACCCATGTTTTATTGACTCCACGAATGCATTTGACTGTGTGGATCATTACAAATTATGGGTAACATTAGGAAGAATGGAAATTCTAGAGCACTTGATTGTGCTCATATGGGACCCGTATATGGGTTAAGAGGCAGTGGTTGGAACGAAAGAGAACGAGGAGATACCACGAGGTTCAAAATTGGAAAAGGCGTGCAGCAGAGTTATATCCTTTCACCATATTCAATCTGTATGCTGAACAAATAATACGTGAATTTCAGCTGAACTATATGAAGAACACGGCATCAGAATTGGAGGAAGATTTATCAACAGCCTGTGATATGTAGATACCACAGTCTTGCCTGTCCAAAATTGTCTTCCTACCTACATACGTAATCTACCTACTTAACCTACTTACCTTAACCTACCTATCTACCTATTTATCTATCTATGGCAGAGATTAGCAAACTATTTCTGTCAAGTAATGTGGCTTTGCAGGCCACGGAGGAACTGTGTTGGTTTGTTTTACAATACTTTGAAAATGTAAAAACCGCTCTTAGCCCTAGGGCTGTCTAAAACCTGGGCTCAAGTCAGGTAGTTTTGCCAATCCCTGCTTTATCTGGAACACAAGGTTTTTTTTATATTATAATGAATTAACCATTTGGCAGTTAATGTTTTTTGCCTTGTTTAATAAATCTTCCCTTAGTCTTAGTTTGAGGATTTGAAGATATATTCTAAAGAATCAATGTTCTGTCTTCACACTTACGTTTATAATCCTCCTGGAATTGATCATATGGTGTCAGAGGTTCGCTTTCATTTTTGTCCCCCATAAAAAACCAGAAACCAAACCCATTGCCATCGAGTCGATTCCGACTCATGGCAACCGTATAGGAGAGTAGAACTGCCCTCATAGGGTTTCCAAGGAGCAAATGATGGGTTTGAACTGCCAACTTTTTGGTTAGCAACTGGACTCTTTACCTCTACGCTACCAGGGTTTCCTTTGTCCCTCATATGGATACTCAGTTCACTAAACACGGTTTTTGAAGTGATCATTCTTTCCTCAGTGTTCTATACTGCCGTCTTTGTCATGAATCAAATGTTCTTACATGAATTCATTTGTTTCTGGTCTTTCTATTCTGTTTCTTTGGTCTATTTGTCTATTTTTGTGCCGGTCATTTGTGTTAATTTCTATAGCTTTATAATGCAGCTTAATGTCTGTTAGAGTTAAGTTCTTTATAATTGTCTTGGCTTTGCTTGGCAGTTTGAATTGCTATGTAAATTTTAGAATCAGCTTGTGTACACACACATACACAAATGGGTAATTTGACTGAAATTACATTAAATCTCTTTACAATATTGAGTCTGCCAGTCAATTTAAGTTGTCTTTAATGACAATTAAAATTTTTAATTATCTGTGTGGAGATCTTGTATCTTTTTTGTTTATTCTTAGATACTTTTATTGTTTTATACCACTGTAAGTATTTTTTTTGAGGTTTTTTTAAAAGTGTTTATTTGCAGAGATGATGCTATTAACGGTGCATTGTGACCTATCTAAATGGCTGAAAAGTCTATTGCCAGAGATCCGTTAGTAAGTTCCAAATCTGTTATTTAATTGGTCATTATTACCGCTATCAGACATAACCTTTGTTATGGCTTGAATTATGTCCCCGAAAAATGTGTCAGCTTGGCTAGGCCATGATTCCAGTATTGTGTGATTGTCCACCATTTTGTCATCTGATGTGATTTCCCTACCTCTATGATGTTAATGAGGCAGGATTAGAAGCAGTTATGTTAATGAGACAGAACTCAGTCTACAAGATTAAGTTGTGTTTTAAGACAATTTCTTTTGGAGAGAAAAGAGAATCAAGCAGAGGGGCATGGGGACCTCATCCCACCAAGAAACAAGAACCAGGAGAATAGTATGTCCTTTGGACCAGGAGTGCCTGCACTGAGAGGCTCTTCAACTGGGGAAGTTTGATGACAAGGACCTTTCTCCAGAGCCAACACAGAGAAGAATCCTTCCCAGGGAGGTAGCACCCTGAATTTGGACTTCCCAGACTACTAAACTGTGAGAGAATAAGTTTCTCTTTGTTAAAGCCATCCACTTGTGGTATTTCTGTTATAGCAGTACTAGATGACTAAGATAACGTTTATCTTTTCGGTCAGGGTATCCTCTGTTAGTGAATAAGATGACAAGGTCACTTCCAGTCTTTCTTCATGTCTTCTCTGTCATCTGTCTGTCCCCCCCCACACCCCCGCCACCTTCCAGGTATTTTAAGGAGCCCTCGTGGCGCAGTGGTTAAGCGCTGGCTGCTAACCAAAAGGTCAGCGGGTTGAACCCACCAGCCACTACATGGGAGAAAGATGTGGCCGTCTGCTTCTGTAAAGATTTACAGCCTTGGAAACCCCTATGGGGCAATTCTACTCTGTCTATATGGTCACTATGAGTTGGAATCACTTGATAGCAATGGTTTGGTTTTTTGGCCAGGTGCTTTCTTTTCTTTTTTTTATTGCTGGGTAACAACACCCATTTATTAGCTCAGTTCTGTAGGTCAGAAATCAAGTTGGGCTCAACTGGCTTCTCTGCTTAGGGTTTCACAAGGCCAAAATCAAGGTGTTGGCCAGCCTGGGTTCTTTTCTGAAGGCTCTGGGGAAATAGTCCACTTTGAAGGTTGTTCAAATTATTAGCAGCATTCAGTTCCCTGTGGTTGTAGGATTGAAGTTCCTGTCTTCTTGATAGATGGCACTAGCAAGTCCTCCCACGTGAGTCCCTAGCCAAGTATTTTTGGTTAAGCCATGTTGTTTTCAAGGTTGTATTTTAATGCATTTTCTCATTTTCCTTATACTAAATCCTTTTGAATTACCTCCGTTCAGCCCCTGTTTCAAGAGGTGCTTTAGGATACTTGCATTTTTATGTGGTTTGTGCTTGTTTGTCTAATGTATTAGATTTTGTGATTATGGATAGTTGGTAATGAGAAAGTGCAAAAGAAAGTGAAAGGTAATTCTTACAACAGAAGAAGATTTTAATAGGGTTAAGTTTAGAAAACATGACTTTTGTTTAGTTTACAGTGCCTTTCTAAATCAGCAAATCTCTAGTTACTATTTATTTTGTTTTTTGTTTTACCAATTATTATTTCTTAAGCAGAATAAGATGAGCTGCTTTCAGCTTTTTCCACTGCTAATTGTAAAATGTTTATGAGATCTGGAAATTGTTGTTGAACCCCATGCTTTGTATCAGACTCACATCTGATGTACTTCTTTGTGCTTTGGAGTTGCATAAATAATTCTGTAGGATGTGACTGATGGTTTTTAAAAAACAGCTGTTGCAGGGGGGAGAATCAGAATCTTCCTTTGAAAGATGTAATGAAATTGATGTATTTTGCTTTTGCTCTTTAGCTTAAGAGGGTAAATGTTGTTTCCTGAGGCTATTAGGTTCTGAATCTTTACCATTTCTCCTAGATACTCATTTTTATTTTGACACTTAAATGTAGAAGTGTTATATAGCTCTTTATTATTTCTCAGGTCTTATGGAGTTGTGGATGATTTCATATGAATTTCTCACAGTAATCAAGTTTTTTTTTTTTTTTTAATTACAGTAGGCATTATTACTTAAGTGCTTACATTAGTCAACTTGGTTTAGCTGGTCTGCTTGGCTAGTATATTTCTGTTATAGAAACGAACACTAACTTAATGGGTTAAGTTATCCAGCTGAATTCATTTGTTCTGATTCATTAAAATTTTTTTAATGATAATTTAATGTACTAAGTAAGTAGCTTTCTTATACTGAACAGGTATACTTGTGGGTGTATTTACATTCTACCACATATGAAAATTAGTTTTATTGCGAATGTGTGCCTAATGGCAAATTTGCCCATACAAATGCCAGTCTCTCTATTTTCTTCAGTGTGGGATGGGTAAAGGAGGCTGACATTCGGGGGAGGGCTAGAAAAAGGTGGAGAATTGCGTGTCTCAGAAGATAATGAAGTAAGGCGACTAAAAAAAGAAAAAAAAAAACTTAAGTAATAATCTCATTTTGAGAAATATATCTGCTTGTGAATATAATGTTACTCTTCAGTTCTTTTTGAATTGTGTTGTGAGAATTAGGTGCAATTTTTTATCTATAAAAAATTACCTTTCAAGGTTATGTAAAGATTAAATATTAGGGATCTTAAACATTATAAACAACTAATTTGTAGTTATTTTTTACATGTACAATTCAGTGACATTAATTACAGTCTTCGTGTTGTACATCCATCATCACTATATCGTTATTTTTACTTTTAAATTGATTATGTTATTTAACAGAAAATTTGGTTGACCAGTCTTGCTACAGTAAATAAAATGGAAGAAATTTACATTCATTATTTTCCTTTTTTTATCCCCCTACTGTATATGGTTAAGGAAAAATTAAAAAAGAAATGCACCTTTTATATTTTTAGGCCCGGATAGCATTTTTGCAAGGAGAAAGAAAAGGTCAAGAAAACTTGAAGAAGGATTTAGTAAGAAGAATAAAAATGTTAGAATATGCATTAAAACAAGAAAGGTATGTGTGCCTCAGTTTCTTATAAAAATAGAGCTGATTGTTATTATTCAGCGTGTTTGAAAGATACAAAGCCCTGCTGAAATGCATGGTGATATTTTGGTTTGATTCTTATATGGGAAGAGAAAAATAAATAGATTAAAATCTTTAAAGTGAAATAATATATTTTGTTATGGGATGTAAATTTTGGGTTTTTTTCCTAAAAAGGTAAAAGAAATTATCTTTTTTGACTTAGGGTATATTTGTTACTGGATAATTTACCTAGTTTTTTCTCCTGTTTTACAGCAATAAATTTTTTTCTCCAACCATTTGCAAATAAAGTTTAAAAAGTATTCACATTATACAGTTATTAGAGAAATATATAATAGTAGGCAGTTAACTGTGCAATAAAACAAAAAAAAATTCTTTAAACAATTTATTATTAAAATTTCAGGGCAAAATACCACAAATTAAAATACGGCACAGAACTGAACCAAGGAGATTTGAAAATGCCCACCTTTGAATCAGGTAAACTTGATTCTTCTTCTTCTCCTCCTTTTTTTTTTTATTCAAGAGAAAATTAGTTTAATGTTTATTTTTATATAGCAAACATGTTTTCCTTACCCCCATATTGCTTTGATAGCATTTGTTAGAGAGATGATTACTGTATTTTTTTGCAAATAAATGCACGCTTTCTAGGTTTGTTTGCCAGCAGCCTCCTTTCCCCCTTGAGGTATTTTCACAATTTTATTTCCTATCCCTGTAAAAAAAAAATAGTATAAAGCGCTGACATTCCTCACTGGAGGAGGGAGCAGTTGGCAAACAAACAGTGAAGGTGCGCATTATTTGCGTAAATACGGTAATTATTACACTGTCTAGAATTTTTGGGGGAAATATGACTATTGTAATACTGTCTAGAATTTTGGAGAAAAATATTAAATGAATAAAAATTAGTAAGTAGTTTGATGTATGTCTCAACCCTGACGTTACTTGTCCTGTTTGATTTTCCCTGCTTTGAAACCTATTTATAACTGGGGTGCATTTTTATAGTAATTAGAGCTGGAAGGCCATAAAGTAACTGTTTTTTCACCTGTAGGCAATTATTGACCCATCCTACATAAATTTAGTTTTTCTTATTAATAAGTCCTTTTTATCAGGAAAACCTGTGATCAACTCAGTTTAGTACTAAAGCCATTAGAAATTGACTGGATTTGGAAACTATACAGGCAGCCAACTAAGGATAAAAGAGAAGGAAAAAATCGTATCCATTTGGCCTCGCTCTTTCCTAAGCACGTAGTGAGTCTGCGAGTAGTATCTGATGAAAACTTACGTGGGGGAAGAGAGGGCTGAATATAGGAAAGAGCTAGCAGTTTAATGTTAATTTTAGGGCTTCATATGATTATAATTTGAAAAGTATAAAAGAATCTAGTAAGTAAAGAATGTTTTATTTTTCATTTAAAGAATTTGGTAATATTACTAGCAGTATCTTATTTCTCAGATATATTTATAATTCATTTACATACACATGTTGATGGTGGAGTCAAATTGAAGCCTGTGTTGTTCTTGGATGCTGGTTACTAAGGCCAGAAAAAAGTGTGTTCTTTCCTTATTTAGATATACAGTTTTTCTTCTCTTTCTATAGTTGTTTCCACACCTGATAAAGTCAAAAGCATATATGACAGGAAAAATAAAATTTGTTGCTTTTTTTTTTTTAAAGTGTTATAGTAAATTTTTCAAATGTAGCTAATATTAAATACTTAGAACTTGGAAGAAACACACAACACACATACAACTTGCGGATGATCTATTTTAGGGTCTTCTCCAAATCCAGTTTTAGCAGAACCTTTTATTGTATCTTTTGATTGTCTTCAGCTATAAAATCAAGAGGCAAAGATGGGAGCAACATCGCTTCTCTTTGGTTAGGTAGGCTCACTGTGATGCTACGGAATATTATGGTCTCTTCTTGGGAAAGCAAGAGTGAATATTAAAGTTTCCTAAAATGGAGGAATAATATAAAACCCAAGTATTTTATTTACAGGAGGCACAATAATAACAAAGTTGTGTTTACTAATGGAGAAAAACTATTTGGGATGTTTAGTGAATAAAGTCCAAAAGGTTGGAGAAATATAGACCATGCGAACAAATTACAATAAAATTATTTACATCAGGGTACATGTGGAGATAAATATTAAATGAAACAGGATTACTTTTTATGTGCCCTCAAAATAAATCAAAATATAGGAAGGAGAAAAGGGGCAAAATATTGATTTGACAGAAGTATAAGTTAAGTTTTTATACATCTCTCTTAGTAATTCAAAGATCTGTATCTTAAGCCCTACCCTATAAAATTGGTTGTATCCAAATATATAAAGAGCTCTTATGTATCATATTAAAAAGGTACACTCATTCAATTAGACACGTACCAGAATAGCTAAAATGAAAAGAGAGACAATACCTAGTGTTGTGGAGGATGCGGACACTTGTGTTGCTGCTCTGAATGTGACTTGGCAGTATCTACTAAAGGGAACATAGCATACCCTATGACCCAGTAATTCCACTCCTAGGTTTTCCATTCATAGTAATGCATATGTATATTCACCATAAGACATGTTTAAGAATGTTCATGGTATCATTCGTAATAGTAAAAAATTAGAAACAGCTAAAATGCCCTTCAACATTAGAATGGATAAATATTGTGATATGTTAACATAACAATGCCATTTCGCAACAAGGCTGAACAAACTATAATCTCAACAGCATGGATGAATTATGTTAAGTTGATAAAAATCAGTTTAATTTTTAGAAATCAGGATAGTGTTGATACCCTTTTGGAACAAGAGGAAGTTTTTTAGGGTGCTGATAATGTTTCATTTCTTCATCTAGTTGCTGGTTACTTGGATGTTTTCAAAAATTCACTGAGCTGTACACTTAACATGTACTTCAAGAATGTCCTTAGCAACATTATTTATAATAGTGAAAAATTGGAAACCAGTTTCAACATTAAGGGACTGGTTAAATTAAACAGGTATTTACTTCCTGTGGCATACAATATAACCATCTCATATGATGTTAAGCCATATTTATTGCCGTAGATAGGATGTTCATGACGTGTTAAATGTCACAGCAACTTGTAGTACAGTATGTATACTGCCCCCCCCTTTTAAAAAGAAATATGTATTTTCAAGGGGAGAAGTATGGAATGATAGACTTTCAGCTCCTGACAGTTGTTAAGTTTTAGTGATAGGATTTTGGGCAGTTTTTTTTTTTTTTTTAATTTAATGTATTCTTTATTCTTTAGTAATTATATATTTATATGATTAAAAAATAAGTAAAATATTATAAATAGAAAAAACTGAATAGCAAAATAAACGGGAACTATTAGAACTGTTGAAAGTATAACATTATAGATAATTTGGAATGTTAGTAAAAACTTTTCTGGTTTAACTTAGTTGTAAAAATGAAATTGACTAGATAAAGTCTTGTGGTAAGTCTAGTGATACAGACTCAGAATTAAGTTATTCACTATTTTTGTATATACCTAATATCTGAACAGTGTTGACTTTGAATATCTTATAGAAATATAGCCTTTTAATTTCATAGTCATTAATCTCAGCAGAATTCTGGTAATTAAAAACAAACAAACTCACTTCTAATAACATTTCATTGAATTCCTGGTCCTTTGATATTTGAATCCTTGGCAGTAATAACACTTTGGTTTTCTCAATTTGGTTCCTAGATTATTAGGTTATTGGGACAAATACATTAAAATGAGAGACTCACAGTAAATACTCAAAAGTTAATTTTCTTCTGTCCTTCAAAAAATATTAGGTATATATATATATACACACACACACGTATGTACGTGTGTGTGTGTGTGTGTGTGTGTATATATATACACATACATTTAATTTTATTGTGCTTTAGGTGAAAGTTTACGGCGCAAATTAGTTTCTCGTTCAAAAATTTATACACAAAATTGTTCTGTGACATTGGTTGCAATCCCCACATTGTGTCAGTCCTCTCCCCCTTTCCCTTTCCACCCCGGCTTTATTTAGGAATATTTTTATGGAAACTTATCCCTAAGAGAAGTTTGCAGTATTTTCAAGAGTTGAAATAATGGGTCTGAAACTTTTTTTAAACATTTTTAGAAGAAACCAAAGACACAGAGGCTCCCACAGCACCTCAGAATAGCCAGCTAACATGGAAGCAAGGCAGACAGCTGTTACGACAGTGAGTAATGGTTTATTTTCAGCTTTCTTTAAGGATCTAGATATGAGAGTGCTTATATTTAGTCACTTTGCAAGTAAAAAGTTATTTAATTGTAATGAAACAATGTACTGTATATTTTTTCATATTGCTTCTTGGGTCTTTTTAAAGTTTGTTTCCTCCATTTCAGGATGATGTCAGTTTCTTATTTGCAGAATAGAATGTCCAAAAGACTTGGTGAAGGCCAGAACAAAAACAGTATAGAGTTCATACTTCTAGACACCCTCCATCCCTGTCACTGCCAAATTCACATGTTAGGGTTTCTTTTAAGTGGGTTGTGACTGACTTAGAGGAGGATTTTAACTGATTACCTGAAACTTCCCAGAAGTGCTTTGTCAAACCCTTCTTTTAGTTGAGTTTTTTTTTTTTTAATTGTGGTAAAATAGAACAAAATTTGCCATTTTAACCATTTTTAATTGTATGATTCAGTGTTATTAATTACTTAGTGAAGATCTTTTGTGTGTGTGTGTATATGTGTGAAAATAAAACCTATAGCTGTTCAAGAGTTCTTAAATGTGTAGTTTAGTGACAAAGGTTACATACTTCACATTGTGTCACCATTCTCACTATCTCCACCTATATTGTTTCATCACTGTTAGCTTAGACTCTCTGCCCCTTAAAGTTCTAACTTGTGCTTTAGAGTTAACTATTGTCAGTTTGGAAACCCCGGTGGCATAGTGGTTGAGAGCTACAGCTGCTAACCAAATGGTCGGCAGTTTGAATCCACCAGTCGCTCCTTGGAAACCTGTGGGGCAGTTTTACTCTGTCCTATAGGGTCGCTATGAATCGGAATTGATGGGTTTGGCTTTTTTTTTTTTTTTTTGGTATTGTCGGTTTGGTCTCATGTAGATAATTCTTTAAAAGAGCACAGTGCTCAAGGCAAACGTTCTTTATTAATTGAGCTAAACTATAGTTTTAAAATGACTTTATGGAGTAGTTTCGGTTCAAGGTTTAAACATTGTTTCCAGGCAGTAGATTCGAGGGTTCAGTCAGTCTCAGTTGATCCGGTAAGTCTGGTTTCCATGAGAATTCGAAGCTAAAGTGAGCTTTTGAGGAACCTTTTTGATGTTTGACTTCTTTGCTGTGTTGGAAATACTTCTGTGTCAGATCTTGTTTGTCTTTTATTTGCTCTCCTTTATATAATGGAAACTGTGGTATGGCGTCCTACTGATATCTTAGGTAATTTACAATTATGCAGCCTTCTTAACTGTAGACATCTTTACCTTCACTTCAGTAACCCAGTGAAATGTGGTCACACCCTGGACCTTATAATTACCTAGAACTACTCTGCCTCTGAAATATTCCATGATTGGACAGTCATCCCATATTCAGCCTTTCTCCAGTCCAGTTTCCATGTTATTTCCCCTCTAACCATACCTTCATCTTTAGACCTTGGACCGTTTTATTTTCTTCCCTGCCTTGTCTCTCTGTGGTTGGTTTTATTTTGTTTTCCCCAGCTCCAGCTTAGACCCTGTGCTCCTTCACTCTCTTGCTAGTAACCTTTAGCTTTCTTGTGGCCCACTTCTCATCCTCTCCTCCGTCGCCAGTCATTCTGCTCTACCTACTTGCAAAACTCCAGCCCTAGTTTAGTCTTATTGTCTGCTTCTTCTGTTTCTGATTAATTCTTCGATCACAAAGTCATGTGAATGCCATTACATATTCATAGTTTCCTGTCCAAACATTGCAGACAGCCTCTCTCCATAGTCCTGATCACCTCCCATTGTCCTTAGTAGATACTCTAAACTTTTACCACGTGTTAGTGCATTACCCTCATACTCTCATTAGAGCACCTCAGGTTCTGTTTCACCGAAAGCAAAGGCTATCAGGTGAGAGTTCTCTAAACTTACTGCTTTCCTTTCTGTAAATGTATTTAAACTTCGTATCTATTAACTCAGTTTCTGATGTTCCATAAAAGAGATCGTTGTAAGTCTGGACTTACAGTAAATGATTAAAACTTGAGCCAGTTTTAGCCAAGATAGATTATTGATTGAAAGAATGCTGGGGTCACTAGCAGAATTGAGGGAAGGGCTGAAAAACTAAGCATCAGGAAGGCTAGAGTAGCTCTAAGGATATCTCAGGGATAGGAAACACCCAGAATACATTCTGTTCTCTGGTTTTCTACTCCTCTTTTTTATCAGCTTTATACTTTTCTACCAGCTTTCTCCATATGGCAGGGACTCCCTATTTTTTTTTAATTGTAGTAAAAAATACATAACAAAACATTTGCCATTTCATCCATGTTTACGTGTACAATTTAGTGACATTAATTAAATATCTCAGGGATAGGAAACACCCAGAATACATTCTGTTCTCTGGTTTTCTACTCCTCTTTTTTATCAGCTTTATACTTTTCTACCAGCTTTCTCCATATGGCAGGGGACTCCCTATTTTTTTTTAATTGTAGTAAAAAATACATAACAAAACATTTGCCATTTCATCCATGTTTACGTGTACAATTTAGTGACATTAATTAAATTCACCATGAGCAACCATCACCATCCAAATTTTTTCATCACTCTTAACAATGACTCCCTATTTCTTCCTCACACCTACCCCTGTAACCACTAATAAACTTTGCAGGGGACCCCCTGTTTTAATCAGAACAGTTTCAGACAAGGATTTTGGCCAGACTTGGTCACATGACTGCTCATGAGTCAGTCGTTTTTACCTGGATTGTGTAAGATCCTGGCTCCTCATTCAGACCACATAGTTAGAGTGTGATGGGAGATATTCCCCCAAAAGAGGATTGCATTTTCTAGAAGAAGAGTGAGGGCACCTGCAGAGACCAGCTGAGCAGTATTTTGCTCATAAATGTCTAATCCCATCGTTTGAACTTAGATTCGCTTTTCAGCTTTTTCTTTCCCTTTGACTGTAGCTAAACTTTTTAAAAGAATAGTCTATCCCCATACATTTTCCTCCTGTTCTTTTCTCAACCGTCTAGCCTGTTTTCTGTTTTGATGTTCTGTAAAGCTACTGCACACCACATGTTCATGAGACTTCTTTTTGTTCATATTTGCTGTCTTGGAAACACTTGGCATTAACTATTCATTCCTCTTGAAAAACTTCCTTTTTTTTTTTTTTTTACTTCATCACACCACTCTCTGCTATCATTTTTTCACCTAATTTCTTAAATATTTTCTTTTCATTTTCCCTTTGAGTTTCTCTTATTCTTCTAGCCTTTTAGGTATTGTATCCCCAAGCTTTCTGGTGTCATATATACTTTTTCCCTGAGTTACTTCATGTAAATCCATGGCTTCATATACCACCAAATGCTGATTACCCCCAAATCTCTACACCTAGACCAGTCTCTTCTCAGCTTTTGACCTTTCTTAGCCAAGTGCCTAAAAAACATTGTCACTTGATTGTTTCATAGACACCACATGGTTGTCTGATAAAACCAAACCAGACTCATTGCCTTTGAGTGGATTCTGACTCCTAGTGACCCTATAGGACAGAGTAGAACTGCCCTATAGGATTTCCAGGGTTGTAAATCTTTATGAGAGCAGACTGCCACATCTTTCTCCTGCTGAGTGGTGGGTGGGTTCGGACTTCCAGCCTTTTGGTTAGCAGCTGAGCGCTTAACCACTCTACCACCAGGGCTTCATGGTTTTCTGATACCAAAAAAACAAACCATTTGCTGTTAAGTCAGTTCCGACTCGTAGTGACCCTACAGGACAGAGTAGAACTGCCCCAGAGGATTTCCAAGGAGTGGCTAGTGGATTCAGACTGCTGACCTTTTGGTTAGCAGCTGATCTCGTAACCACTGTGCCACCAGGGTTGTCTAATAGGTACCTTGTAATCCTGATTCTGACCTTTTATTCACCATTTCATTGAATGGTACCACCATCCAGCCTCTAAGCTAGAAACCTGAAAATTGTCCACAACTTTTGCATCTTTTCTCATTCTAGTGTCACATTTATTTATGCACCAAGTTCCAAAGATTATACCTTACTTATTTTTCTCACATTTGTCTCTTTTTTCCATTCTTGCTTCTTGCTGTGTTAAGTATCCTAACTGATATTCCTGTCATCAGCTGTCTTAAATTCCTAGTGCTGCCATAACAAAAAATACCAGAAGTGAGTGACCTTAAAGAACAGAAATTTATTTTCTAACACTTCTGGAGGCCAGAAGTCCGAATTCAGGGCATCAGCTCCAAGGAAAGGCCCTTTTTTGTCTCTTTCAGTTTCTAGTAGCTGCCAGCAGTCCTTGGTATTTCTGGACTTGTAGATTGATCTGCCTCCGTTTTCACATAGTGTCTTCCCCCTGTGTGTGTCTGTGTCTATTTTATATGATAACAGCAGAGGGATTAAGTATAGGATCCATCCTACACTGGTATGATCTCATTAATATAACAACAACAACAAACCCTCCTATTTCCAAGCAGGGTCATATTTACAGGTATAGACATTAGGATCTAACATAATTTTTAGGGGGATACAGTTTAATCCGTAACATCAGCCTTCACCTGAAAATCTTCCAGCAGCATTTAACGTTCTTTTTTAGAATCCTTCATTAGCCCTTCAAATACTTTAGGAAGAAATTCTTTAACTTGTCACACAAAGCCATTCATGACTCTCATCTATATGTCACGATGCGACCCCTCACTTTTCCAGTCTCACCCTAGATCTTAGGTTAAGCTTGCTGGTTTAAATAGAGATAGCTTGAAAACCACAGAACTAGAGAGTACTATGGGATATTAGATCCTAGAAAGACAGTAAGTAGCTAGTCCATCAAACTCTGGTTAAGAACGGTAGGTTCAAACTTAGCATGTCACGCTTCTGAGGTTCAGTTCTACTCATTCTCTACCACTCTTTGGACATTTTAAAGGAAAAAAAACAAATACATACACACACACTCACACACACACAGAATACGCTGTCGACTTCTGAAAGCTTTTTAAGGCACTAAGGCTTTCTAGATTTTAGGATAAATGGCTCTTAATCAATGTTAGCCATACTATAAACTCTCATTTAAATTTTCATTTATAATTGGCATTATTCTCATGGAACTGGAACTAGTCCATAGAAAAGAAAATTTTTAAGACAAAGGAAGAATATATTTTATAGGATTATGGGCTTTCCAAACAATTGTTCGATAATATTTTCAGTCTTGACAGTTGCTAAGAGTATGTGGAATTTAATATTTTTAATTTTCTTTTATAGATATCTTCAGGAAGTAGGTTACACAGATACAATATTAGATGTACGGTCTCAGCGGGTAAGGTCATTACTTGGACTATCCAATTCAGAACCAAATGGATCAGTAGAAACAAAAAATTTAGAACAGATCCTGAATGGAGGTGAATCTCCTAAACCAAAAGGACAAGAAATCAAAAGGTATGAACTATATTTGCAGATTAACATTTTTTATAAAATCAACATAATGTATCTTCTAATTCCTTGTTACTACCTTTAATAATTTTTAAAGCAAATAGCATTCAGATTTAAAGACTTCTTCCTTCCCCCTCCTCCTAGTAATGCCATGGACAAATACGTTTTCTATTAAAATGCTTTTTAAATTAACTATATTAAGTTTTGATTTCAAGAGAATATAGTTCTGAAATAGGTGCAGAATTAAAAAATTGAGAGTGATTTCATGTAGTTCTGGGCTATTTCAACAACCTGATTTTTCAAATTTTAGCTGGAATATTTTCAGTAAATTATAATGCTACTCTATCACCAGGAGTAGGGTGCTGCTGTAACAGATACCTAACATATGGAAGTGATTTTGAAACTGTGAATGGGTAGAGGCTGGAAGAATTTTCAACTGCCTAATAGTAAAAGCCTGGAACAAGGGAATACTGTGTGGTTTAAAGTAAGGAAAAGTGTGCGTCAGGGTTGTATCCTTTCACCATATTTATTCAGTCTGTATGCTGAGCAAATAATCCAAGAAGCTGGACTATATGAAGAAGAACAGGGCATCAGGATTGGAGGAAGACTTATTAACAGCCTGTGATATGCCCATGACACAACCTTGCTTGCTGAAAGTGAAGAGGTCTTGAAGCTCTTACTGATGAAGACCAAAGACCACAACCTTCAGTGTGGATTACACCTCAACATAAAAAAAAATCATCAAAACTGTACCAATAAGCAACATCATGATAAACGGAGAAAAGATTGAAGTTGTCAAGATTTCATTTTACTTGGATCCACAATCAACACCCACGGAAGCAGCAGTCAAGAAATCAAATGACGCATTACGTTGGGCAAATCTGCTACAGAAGACCTCTTTGAAGTGTTAAAAAGCAAAGATGTCACTTTAAAAGCTGGACAATGAATAAGGAAGACCGAAGAAGAATTGATGCCTTTAAGTTGTGTTGTTTGTGAAGAATATGGGCTATACCATGGACTACCAAAAGAATGAACAAATCTGTCTTGAAAGAGGTATAGTCAAAATGCTCCTTAGAATAGCAAGGATGGTGAGACTTTGTCTCACATACTTTAGACATGTTATTAGGAGGGACCAGTCCCTGGAGAAGGACATCAAGCTTGGTAAAGTGAAGGGTCAGCGAAAAAGAAAGACCCTTAACGAGATGGATTGACGCACTAGCTGCAACAGTAGGCTCAAGCATAGCAGTGATCATGGGGATGGCTCAGGACTGGGCAGTGTTTTGTTCTGTTTGTCGCTATGAGTCAGAACTGACTTGAGGGCACCTCACAACAATAACAGCTCTATTACTGGAATTAACAGTGGTTATTTAGATACTAGTATGAAAGAAACAAAGCCCTGTGTTTGAGCTCAGGAAGCTACTGGATATACTTTTTAAAAACATGTTTATTGAGATATTAGTCACATACCACAAAATGCACCCACTGAAAGTATACAACTTAATGATCTTTTAGGATATTCACACAGTTGTGCAGCGATCACCACAGTCTAAAGTTAGAACATTTGTATCACTTTAAAAAGGGTGATAGATCCATTAGCTTCCACTCCCCATTCTCCCCATGTTGTCGTTGTTAGTTGCCATCAAGTTGATTCTGACTCATGGTGAACCCCATGTGTTACAGAGCAGAACTGCTCCATAAGGTTCTCTTGTTTTTAATCGTGACGAAAGCAGTTTACCAGGCCTGTCAATTCATTGTACAGCTAAGTGGGTTTGAACCTCCAACCTTTAGGTTGGCAGTCAAGCAGTAACCGTTTGTGCCACTTAGGGACTCCATTCTTCCTACTCCCCTCCAACCCTAGGCAACTGCTACTCTACTTTCTGTCTACAGATTTGCCTATTCTGGACATTTTATGTAAGTGGTCTCTTGTGACTGGCTTTTTTAATTTAGCACAATGTTTTCAAGGTTTATCCATGTTATAGTATGTTTCGGTACTTCATTCCATTTTATTGCTAAATAATACTCTGGTCTATGGATATACCACATTTGTTTATTCATTGCTTGTCCAGTTGATGGATATTTGGGTTGGTTCCACTCTTTGGAATAATGAATTTTTGAGCATTTGCTTTGAACATTTGTGTATATGTGTGAATATGTGTATAATTCTCTTACGTATATACCTAGGAATGGAATTGCTATCTCATATGGCAGTTCTGCGTTTAACATTTTTGAGGAACTGCCAGACAGATTTCCAAAGCAGCTGCACCATTTTATGTTCCCACAAGCAACATAAGAGTTTCAGTTTCTTCACATTCTCGTCAACACTTGTTTGTTATTGTCTGTCTACCAGATATACTTTTTATTAATACAAGCATGATAAATGCAGGGAGTCGAGCAGGTGGAACTTTTTTCATTTTTTAGCAGTAGACATTACCCTGAGTTTATGTATATAGGTTGGAAGTACAAAGAAAAGAAAAATAGGAGGAAAAAAACCCAAATAAGTTCATTTACAGTTTAAAGGAATTAGTAATATGTGCAGTTTATAAACTAATACTATCTCATACCTTAAATGTATTTTTGACGTTATGCAATTATCTAAAACATACTCCATAAACTTTGAAGTTAACATGAACCTTTGATTTAGGGTTATATTTCTGAGACATAAGCTCTTTAATAAAAACAATTTGACATCTTATAGAGCCCGTATTTTGTTTACTGTGAATTTCAGAAAATATAGTGTTTTTATAATGTCAGAGAATACACAAAAGTATTGTCATGCAATTTTAACTCAACTAGTAAACTAACCAGGCTCAGTAGTTTATAGATTTTATAAATATTTTAGAGTAATGGAGTTTACTGTATCACACCTGAATCTGAAGTAAAGATTGACAAGAACCTGTAGCTTGTCCTTATGAATCTTCTTGCCTTTGCAAGATTAAGACTTTGATAGTCGTTTTTAATCAAGGCTGTTTTCCCTCTTAATGAGAATACTTGTATATTCTGACCAGCACTAATGTAGGTGTGATAAGGTTCAGCCACTGAAAACCTCTGGGAGTAAAAAAATAACATGTGGTTAGAGATTTCAACAAAAAAATATTTATCACATTTTTGTTTATAGTAGTAAAAAATTATAAACAATGTGAGTGTCCAGCAGTAGAGGAATGGTAAATTTTAGGCTCATTATCAGAGACAACATACCTAATGGTTAAGAATGTGAATTCTGAAGATGTACTGACTGGGCTTGAATCCTGACTCCACCACTTACTAGATGTGACTTTGGGCAAAGGTACTTTTTTACTTTCCTGTACCTTAGTTTCCTCATTTGTGAAATGGGGATGATACTACCTACCTGATAGGGTTGACGTAAGGCATAAGTGAATTAATGTAAAGTACTTAGAACAGTGCTAAATAAACGTTGGCTATTACGAAATATTGTATATCCACTTGAAATGTGACCCCACCAAGAATAGTGTTTACTAGTGTCTGCTAAGTGAGTATGCTGTTGTGTTTATTATAGGAGAATATTATAAGAGAATTATCATATTGCAAAGCATCACCTTTATGAGGATTCATTGTAGGATAGAGTTCTCTTAGATCTTGTGACTGGGAAAAGCTGTGCTGCTTCTTAAGCAATTGGTCTGCTTTACCTTTGGACGTCCAGTAATTGTTCCCTTTCTCTTTTCGCTCTGGCTGTTAGTAATATCAGTGTGGTTCCCCTGATATTTCTGACTCCCCACTAGAAAGAGTAAGTCTTTCCAGAAAAGCCTTGAAAAAAAGATAGACCTTTTGCCTATGAACCTTCCCCTTGACTTCATTTTATTTTCCTTTCATCTAGATATGTTAATTTTTTTTATTCCTTTGTTTGCCTTTTTAGAATGAGAGAAGATAATAAATAGGTGTTGGTGAAGAAAAAAATTATTATAAAATACCGTAGAAGGAGACTTCCACTTAAGTATGGTGGCTTAAAGGCACATTTTACTTGTATGTGTTCCAGAAACTGCTAAAATGACAGTTAAAGCCTTTTTTAAGATGTGTTAACCCATAAGAACAAAAACATGAGTATACGTAAAGAGGAGCCTGGTAGTGCAATGGTTAAGTGCTCAGCTGCTAACCAAAATGTCGGCAATTTGAACCCGCCACCCACTCCGTGGGAGAAAAGACCTGGTGATGTGCTCCGTTAAAGATTTACAGCCTAGGAAACTTTACGGGGTACTTCTACTCTGTAATATAGGGTTGCTATTAGTTGGAAGTAACTTGATGGCACACCAGAACAACAACAACATACGTAAACAATGAGAGATGGAGAATTTAACAATTTTAGAAGCTGGAAAGAAAGTGGTCGAATGACAACTTATTTAGTAGGCCTGAGAAAGCTAAAACCTAAGTGTGTTGAGAAGCAATAGGAAGAAGATAGAGAACAAATCAAGTTCCAGAATCTCAGAAAAGCCCAAAGGCTAAGGAATTAGAGGTATCGGATACATTGGAGACCACAGGTTTAGACGAGGCTGTGAATAGACAATTGATTTAGATTTATTTAAGAAGCAGTTTGAATCCCAAATCCCCTCTTTCTTTCTGTGCAGTTGGATGAACACCCCTCCCCTACCCAAGAAGAATGGTAGTATATTTTCTAGTGTAGTTGAATCAGTAATTTCTGATTTCTTAAGATACCAAGCAACTGCAGGGTGTGGTATTATATAAAAGTCTCTAGCTGAGCAGGGAGATCCCCTGCTTTTCTTCCTCTACTTGGCTTCTGGTATGTTGGCAGCTGATTCTTATATCTCTTCCAGGCAGTATATTAAAACTGATCACGTTTATAGCAAAGACCTGATGATTTTGCAATTGAGATCTGCTGGTGAAATGGCTAGGCCTCTGTCCTATCATGCAGAAGTGAAGCTTACTACTTGACAAGTCTCACCAAGTACACAAAATATCCACTTAGCTTTTTGGTGCCTCACTCTTAAATGTGACTACTCAAGGAAAGATTTTAATTTGAAAATTAGAGAACAAAGGAGCCAAACAAAAAAAGGAGCTCAGATCAAACAGGTTTGTAGGGAGCAGAAGAATTTCACAACTATAATTATGCTCCTGAGGAGGACTGAGAGAAGACAATGCATCTACAAAACAAATAGGATGCTACTTAAAAAGGTTCGATTAGAGATCAAAAAAGAGCTCATAGCAGAAATAATTTCCACATGTAAAACTTGAAAGACAAGCTTGAAAGACTCTTTCAGAAAAAGAAAAGGAAAAAGAAAATAGAATAGAAGAGGTAGGAACATTCAAAGATCAGACCAGGATTTGACTAACAGAAGTGTATTTGACTAATAGAAGTTCCCAGGAAAAGAGAAGAGGTGAAAAGGTATTGAAAAAATTAGTAATACAAAAAATTTCACAGAATGTATTTTAAAAACCGTTGTATTTCCAAACTGAAAGAGTTCCCCCCAAGTGCCCAATAAAGTTTCTGACATAAGATCTATACAAAGGCCATCATCATGAATACTAAAAATGAAGAGGTGATTCTAAGATACTCCAGATAGAAAAATCATTGAGAATCAGACTGGTATCAAATTATCCTCGACATTCAAAACTAGAAAAGAGCATTGCATTCAAGATTCTCAGGAAAAATAATTTCCATTTATATTTCTGTACTGAGCCAAATAACTGAATTGCATGAAAGAGTAGAAAAAAGACACATTTAGATGTGAAAGTCTCAAATTTACTCCTCATTCATCTTTTCTCAAGAAGCTTTTAGAAGACATACCTCAGCAATCTGAGAGAGTAAATCAAGAAGGAGGAAAGTGTAAGATCTAGGAAGAAGATGGTCTAATACAAGATAGAGGCAAAGAAGTTTCAGGAAACAGGTATGCAGTGGGCCTGGAGAGCACCCAGAGTAGAATGGAAAAAGACAACACCAGAAGGAAAGTCACTTAGAAAATATCAAATTAATACATTACCTGATGTGTTTGAGGATTTTGAAAGGAGATTTACAATTCTGCTAGAGAATTTCTGGGTAAGGAATTACATCCTTAGAAAACTAAGCAATTAAAGCAAATAGAGAATTATTAATTTCAGGAAAACTGTATGTACAAGGAAAGAAATAGAATCATTGATTATAATGTGACTTAAATGGGAATAATATTTACATAGTCCTAAGGTAATCATGGAATGTTAATTTAGCCAAAAGTAAATTGATGTAATTATATTACCATCAGTGTAATTGGGGGAGGAAGTGTGAGTGTGGACTGGGGACTGTATTTTCATAGAACTAAATCCTTATCAAATGACAGTCTAAACATGTTATTTACAAATGCTAGTGTAAATAACAGAAGAAACTGCTTAAAGTTTTAAATGGTGGTTTCTAGCATATAGGAATGAAAGCTAGGGGAGGATGGTGGGTAGTAGATTCTGTTATTCATCATAATTCTTTTAAAATTATTTGGAACTATTTGACTTTTAAAGCCATGCTGTAAAGTATTGCTGTGATAAAATACCATTATAAAAATCTAGAATGTGAGCTCTCACTGTAGATATAAATTTCTATCCAAGGGATAGTAGTAGTCAATTTATTGAAGTTCAAAACAAAATTCTCATATCTTTAAAAAAAAATTAGTATTTTCTGTCATCAATGTGCCTATTTTCTATTATCAAAAGATTTTGTCAGATACTTTCTTTGCCTTTCCTTTAACTGCCAAATATTAAGATATATTATAAACGTTGAACTGAAATTTGTGTGTTCTGTTGTTGTGGTAAGTTTGTTTTCACTAATTTACATTTGGAAAACCCATCTTTTTCTGCATTTGGTCTTCATGCAGCTTCTTAAACAATGTGCTGGATTGAGTGGAGTATAATAGACCCCATGCCATGTTAAAATGCTACTAAACATAGTCTGAATTTTACTGTGTCCTTAATTTGGACTAATGGGGAGAAAAAATCTGGGGACACAACCCCTGAATTTTAGAATATTATTCTTTTTTTTTTTTTTTACCATGTGCTCTTAGTGTTGGTAAGGACCATTGAGATCGTCTAGTTCAACCCCACATTTTACAGGTAAAAAAATTGAGACCAAAAGATTTAAGTGGTGTGGCCAGACTCAGGCAGAGACTTTTTTTGTGAGTCTTTGTTCAGCTTAATTTTCTGTTTTGTTGCTGCCTCTACTGTTAGACATTTAAACAACTTATGAAAACCTCATTTTTTGTACATTGAGGAATTCAGAGTTGTTTAAAAGACATGATTTAGTAAGTAGATAAAATAGATTATCGCTGTTACCTGTTAAATGATTATGAAAGACTTCGAAAGTATTACTTTCACAGCTTAAGGGTCTTTGTAAGTAAGGAAATCTGTGAAATGGATTGGGATGTTGCTGTATGTCTGACTTATTATCACTTAAAATCTGTGCAGCATGATAGTTTGTTATTTACCATTTTAGTCCTCAAACATTTGGGCCAAGCTGTAAGACGTTGTAGAACTTTAAGAAATGCTAAATTTATGTTACTCACTTTGCTAGCTTTATTTTGAGAGATAATAGAATATATGAGTGTCTAATACTACACGATTTTTTTTTTTTTTTAATGTAGTAATTACCTCAGATATCCTGGGCAGTAAACATCAGAGAAACTAAATGTACAGAGAGCAGTCACTTTTACTTTAATCCTAGAAAATAAGTAATTTTTCAGACCTTTTTTGGGGGGCAATGATAAAATATTTAGAATGATACATTATAAGTAAATTGTCATTTGAATCTGTATAGCTGCCTTCAACTACTATTTTAAAATAGACACCAGTAAGAAATATTAGAATTAACCACCAGAACACATGGATTCATTTTTTCCCCCTCCTACAGACCCTCTGGTGATGTTCTTGAGACGTTCAATTTCTTAGAAAATGCTGATGATAGTGATGAAGAAGAGGAAAATGACATGATTGAAGGCATCCCAGAAGGAAAAGACAAACATCGGATGAATAAACACAAAGTAAAAACTCAGTTTTATATTTTCATTGGCCAATCTATATGTATACACACACATGTATTTAAAATGTTTTAATATTTTAGAATAGGAATTTTTGAGGCATCTTACTTAAGAGACATTGGGAGGATGGGTTATTTTTTATTTTGTGATGTTTCCCTTAAAATTTTAGATGGTCGGCTCTTATTGAATTATTAACATATAAAACCAAAAAGGGGCTCTGGTGGTGCAGTGGTTAAGAGCTCAGCTGCTAACCAGAAGGTCAGCAGTTTGAATCCACCAGCTGCTCCTTGGAAACCCTATGGGTCAGTTCCGCTCTGTCCTGTAGGGTCGCTGTGAGTTGACATTGACTCGACAGCAATGGGTTTTTGGTTATTAAAAAAAAAAATCTGTTACCGTGTAGTTGATTCCAACTCATAGCGACCGTATAGGACAGAGTAGAACTGTCCCATAGTTTCCAAGGAGCAGCTGGTGGTTTCAGACTGCCGAGATTGGCAGCTGAGCTCTTAATGACTGTGCCACCAGGGCTCTATTAACATAGGACAAATTATTTGCTGTATTGTTCACTAAATGGGCAAGAAAGGGTCTGTTTTTAGTATAAGACTAGTTTTGAAATTTTTTTTTAAAAATGAGCAACTTCCCTTAATCACCCTGCCACAAGTGAAAATTAATCTTCATGAACAATAAACAGGTGATAAATAAACTGAAGCTGCAGTGTGGGAGTAATACATGAATTGTGAATATGTGTTTTAGTGTTCTCATTTGTTGTATGGCTCCATTAAAATTTACTTTTGTTCATAACCTAAAAAATCGATTTGTCTATTTTAGTGGTAATGGGGTTTAGCTGTAACAACAAAAGTAGATTAGATGATTCATTTGTGAATTATCAGAGTAGTGTATGCTATTTCAGGAGTGTATAAAAGGGGATAGGTTCATCTGTGGTTCATTGGGATGTTACAGTTAGTGGAGTAAATGCCAGTGTTCCTCAAAAGCTTCCAGTCTACAACAGCAGTTTTCAACCTTTCTGTCACGTTTCATATGTGTAACATACTCTATTGGGTAAATAGAAATTTTGATTCTTCCCTATCTTTTTGGTCTGCTCTTAGGTAAAACACTACTATAATTACCATGCCTTTTAACTGAGATTAGTTTCTATTTTTATTAGCTGTGCCATATCCTTATCTAGGCCATGGGTTATAGACTAAGTATATAGTTCTCAGTGTGTTAGGTCAATTCAGGACAATGTATCAGAATGCAAGTGAATGAATGGGACTTTAGTAGGTGTAACGGTGAATTTAGTGTAGTTTATAAGAGAAAAGTTTAATATTGTCTGTGATTAGCACTCTGACCATTCGTAGTACCAAATTACTTGCATCACACATCACAACTAATCTTGGCACAGCACTGTTGAGAACTACTCATCTGCAGTATAGTTTGGGATTTGTGAACTATGTGGAAAGTCTAAACTTTTGTGTTCAAAGAATTTAAAAATGGGTGTGTAAATGTAAAGATAATTGTTTGAAGACATTAAAGGACCCCTTTAAAATTTAGAATAAAAGTAATTCTTGGCTTATGGTTTATTTGCAGATAGGTAATGAAGGCTTAGCTGCTGACCTCACTGATGACCCTGATACTGAAGAAGCACTGAAAGAATTTGATTTTTTAGTGACTGCTGAAGATGGAGAAGGAGCTGGAGAAGCACGGAGTTCAGGGGATGGCACAGAATGGGGTAAGGTGATAAAGAAATATGGGCGTGGGGGGGGGGTCTCTAGCCCTTACAGATGAATTATTATTAAGTATTTTATGTGGAATGTGTGTATCTGAATGTATGGTGGCAATTAAACAGAAGCAAGGGGAAGTGATATTGGATAATTTTCAGGGTATCTTCCACGAATTTATTTAGATTTGATAACTAAAATATATGGCTTTTGGTTTTTGAAATTTGTCTTGATTTAAAGTTGAAATATTTAGTTGATTTGGAAATTCAATTCCTTTCCTCTCAGCAGATTTTTTTTTTTTAAATAAGCATATATTCAGTTTTAAATATTCTCATTTAATTTGGGAATAAATTTAGGTTTCAAGAAGACTTAACTTTTTAAATATGCCCATATGATACTGTCTCATTTATTGCTAGGAACGAATAAAGCTACTAATCCTGATTATAGATCTATATTTAATAAGATTTAATGAAGATGTTAAGCTTGGTTGCCTGTAATATTCATTGTGCAAATGTTAGGGCCTAGCCTTTGGAAGTGATATGTAATGCTAATAATAATCCAGCTATAACTAAAAGGGACAAAACACGATCTATCTGTACAGGGTAAAAACCTCATTAATCTACCTAACCTGTTGCCGTCGAGTCAATTCCAACTCATAGCGACCCTATAGGACAGAGTAGAACTGCCCCTTAGGGTTTCCGAGGAGCGGCTGGTGGATTTGAACTGCTGACATTTTGGTTAGCAGTCATAGCTCTTAACCATTGTGCCACCAGGGCTCCAAAAAAAAACCTCATTAGAAAGTAAAATAAAAGTGTACAAATTTTAAAAAATAGCCGAGGTCCAGTATATTATTCATATTAAATATTTTCATTCAATCATCTTTTAATGTCAGCATGTTTGTTTTCTGATAGGTAGAACTAACTCAGAGTGTGCTTATAGAGTTCTTTTGGAGAAGGTTACTAAGTACCTTAATACATATTTCACATGAACACCAAAGTTGCTTAGTTACTAGTGAAAAAAATTTTCACTAGATATTTTAAAACTACTTTGGTGATAGGAAACATACTTGGATTAAAAGAAAAAACCTTTATGTATTGAAAGTTAATATTCCTAATAATAAGAGAGATAAAACCTAATAGATAATATATTTATTGATTCCCTTGATGTAAAAATGCATTCAAGTGCTTGAAAGATCTGAATTTTGTTAACAGCTTTATCATTGTAATTCTCCAGTACTGTTTTTAGACCTCACTTATCTATTCTGTAAATGGAAAAAGAAGAGATACATCAATTCAAAACATGAGAAAACTCCACAATTACTTTCTAGACTTTGAATGTACATTTTTGTACTTACTATTTGAAGATGGATATGTTACTTTAAAAGTTTACCCTTATTAAGAATTAGCCTTCCTCAGGAGATCCAATAAAAGTGAAGTTTTCAACTTTTAGCTTTTCTGTGCAGCCCATTCAGCAGACCATTTAATGTGGGAAAACCATATTTTTTTCTCCAATAATTTCTAAAGTACCTGTTTTTTCCTGATTGTAAAATAATCCATATATATATTAGAAAGCTTAGAGCCTACAGATAATGTGAAGAAGGAAATAATCACTTATTAGAGAGAATGATGGTTAACACACACACATACTCATACACTCATATTCACTCATTTATGTACTTACTAAATAGGATTTGCTGTACATTGATTTATAACCCACACTTTTCATTAATATTTGTTCTGCAGTATCATTTCTAAAAGCTGCGTAACATTCTGTCAGTATGTGCCACAATTTATTTAACCAGAGCCCTACTTATGCCCATATAGATAATTTTCATTAAAAAAAAAAGAAAAGACCAAAAGTATAGCTAAATCTTGGCACATGTCCATTTCTGTTTTCTTAGGCCAAAATTGTTTGAAGTTGAACTGCCAGTTGAAAGGATATACAAAAATTTCAGAAATTTAATTTGTATGTAATAGTATTATTTCTTTAATGTAAGGCACCATATTAAATACAAATGTTTGGTCCTTCTTTCCTTAGACTTCTGACGGTAGAGTAGAATTTAAAAAGAGGACCTGACTAGTGAACGATAACTGTCGATTCTTTTACCATCAGTATTTGAGTGACCTGTGTGTATCTCCATGTGTAAATAGAAGTTGCTTATAAAGCCTCTTCATTCCAGACAAGATGGAGACATTATTTTTAAAGCATTTTAAGTTCTTGAGAAGGAAAACGACTCTTTTAAGTACCAAACGGTTCAAGTTGTTTCTTTCCTTAAGAAATGAAAAACGATCAAAAGATCTATGCATGCAGTGGTCTAGAAGTTCATCATTTCTTCACAACAGACGTCATATTTAGTTTTTCCAAATCAAAGAGAATGGATATACAAACACTCCCTTATATTTATTTATTCATTACTAAAAATTGGTTTACTTATAAATGGGAAGGTGGCAATTTTCAGATTTAAATTATTGCATGAAGGACACATATTTTTCTTAAATATAAATAGTCTTCGCCTAATGAAACATATCCGAGTACATGCCCACATTGGATAATCTGTTATTTTCTGTTTTGTTCACTAGCAGTCTGCTCAGTTCTCTCTGATTTTGAATAACTTTATCTTACAAGACCTCTGCTTTTTAAAAAGCTCTTTAATCATGTTTTTCTTTTGTCATCTAAGTTACTTAACCCGAGTTTAATATTAGTAGTCTTTAGTTCTTCTCATAACCAAACATATTAGTTAGCATTTCTAATTTTTGCTGTTTCTCTCATGGAGACCAGACATTTTTAAGAATGTTCAGTTATGTACTCCTACATGTTGAAACTGTGATCTGTGGAAATTTATAGGGCTACAAAAATGCAGTTCGTAACTGAATGTATTTAAATACAGTGGATAATTACACTGAGCATTTGTATAAAGTTAGTTATAAATTTATGTTACATTTTGGTAGGTTTGTATAATTCTTCTGCTCTGGTAATTAGAATTACCATAATAGAATTTCATGTTTTTGTGGTGTTGAGTAGTCACAGGTCAACTTTTTTGTGCATATTTGTATTTTCTTTTAAACCAAAAAGCTCCCTTAACTGATGCAACTTCATTTCTTGATTCCTTTTTCTTCCCCCTAGATTTTTTTAAAACAGGATTAACATGTAGAAGATTATGCTGCCTCTTCCCTTTTGTTCTTACCTATTTCTTGTAAGCAATATCAAATCAGCTGTTATTTACCAGGCAAGTTTCAGGATATTGTTTGTGCACATATGCAATCACCAACCTTTTCTTTACACTACCTGTGCTTCCCTTTGTTTTCTAGATTTGAGATTATCTTGCAAGTAATGTTTTTTTTCCCTTAAGCTTATCTTTTTAAATTCCCTTTGCTTTTTTACTCCACTCCCTTTTGCTACTTGAGTTAGAGCTATTCACAGCTTTATTCTTTTTATAAAGGTCGTTTTAAAAACTGCTTGGCTATCTTATTATATTTTTTGACTTACCTAATTTCCTTTATGAAATTTACACCACTTAAGGGTTTTTTTTTTTGTCTCTTTGAGATTTAAAAAGTATGTTCTCAGAATATATCAATTTGCCTTTAAGTAGTTGCTTTTAAAAATAGGAATTATTAGCTTTATTAAGATGCATGCAAATTATTAATTCCTTAGATCACATTTTTCTTAGAGTATTCAATAAATTGACAGAAACATTCCTGATATAACATTATTTTCAGAAAACTTCCATGGTTAGAATACACAAAAAGTGAGTTTTCTCTTTAAATTACTATTAAAATTGCTAGTTTGAAAAATAATTGTAAATTCTGTCTTGAGCAGCTTAGTTTCAAGTAACTCAAGTTAACAAGTTAACTTAAAGCTTTGAATTTAACTTTTCACATAATGACTACCTATAATCGTAGGTGAGTCTGTAAGGGAGAAAGTGATGACAATTGCAGTAGGAAAGACTCATGGTACAGTAAATTTGGTACCTTGGGTTCAGAAATTTGAATTTCTATGTCCCATTTAATTATGAGAATTTCTATGTTCACTACACACACACTATGTGAATCTAAAGAATAAAAGGCTTTTTTTATGCCCACTTAATAGCTTTACTCAGTGAAGCCTACGGTGATTACAAGATTTGTAAGCCAGAATATAATGAGTTTTCAAAAATTTAACAAGGACGTATTCCTAAAATCTCACTATTCAGTCAGTCTTATTGACTTAGCCCATGTGTTTTGTCATAATTTTTTTTTTAACAACAGGGTTAAAAAAAACTCCTAGTTCGGTAGCAGCATGTTAAACTTCTTAATGGCATGGCTGTTTAAAAACTAAACAAGGAAAGGAAAAATTCTTAGTATTTAAAATAATTCGAAAAGATATACTTTTTATACTGTTTCTTTTTTAACGCTGTTTTTTGTCTAATTTATTGTGCAGTAAATTTTTTTCCAGGCACAAGTATTTAATTAAAACAAATATGGATTTGTTATCTAGCTTAAATAACTGAACCGTGTCATCTTTAGCAGATGTACAGCAGTGTATGTTTTCACTTCTCCATGCTTTTATCTTACCCTAAAAAAAATCAGCCCTAAAAAATTCTTCAGTGGAGTTTGAGTTTTGTTTTGTTTTGCTAATCTTAGTTGTGGACCAGTGGAAGAAGGTTATGAGATGTTAAAACTTTTTGGATGGGATGGGGGCAGAGGTGGGATTCTCTGAAAGCTTTGTATGGATTTTTGAAACATTGTACTTTGAGACTATATACGTGTGTTATATTGGGCTAGAATGCCTCTCCATTAGTACAGCTGTCCTGTGCATGCAGACTCAGTGTGCCAGGAAGTGCATGAATATTTTCATTAATGAAACAACGCTGACTTTTCCAGCTTGCACTTTTATAAGTAGTTCGCATGTAATTCATTCATTTGCTTTTATGACACTTGCTGAATAGTTTTTTATTAACACTTTTATAAAGATGCAGTGATCTAATTTGTGTAACATTAGTATCTAATGTCAGTCCATTGAAAGAATATCAGTTATTGAAGAATGATAACCTTTAAATTTGTGATTTATAAAAATGAAGCATCATTTAACTGTTGTTAGCGTTAAATTTAGAAACCTATGACATGGGCATTTAGAGTTTGAATGGTGAATAACAAAACTGAGACTGCACCTTTAAAGGATTTTGAGTATGTGCTGTTAGTTCATTTTTATTATGATTATGTGAAGCTATAAGAGTTTACTGCCAACAGCCTGCATTGCCAACTGCTGATTTTTTTTCTTTTAATAATATGCTGCATGTAGACAAAGATGACCTCTCCCCAACTGCTGAGGTTTGGGATGTAGACCAGGTACTAATAAGTAAACTGAAGGAACAGTACAAGAAGGAACGAAAGGGGAAGAAAGGGGTGAAGAGTAAGTTCAGATTCTGACTATTATAATATTGTATACCAATATTGAGAAAAAAAAAAACTTCCATGCTGTTTTTTGTTCTTTTAATAAATTTTTTTGTTTGTTTGTTTCATGAAGGGAGCAACCAACTTTAAACTTTGTCTGTTGTATAATTGAAATTCATTTGAATATAATTTAGGATGCACTATTGATCAAGTAGAAAATCATTTTAAATATGTGAACAGGTGTGAAGGAAAGATTTCAAGTTTTATTTTTTTAAGTTTTAAAATGTTTACCAAATTGTAAGAAATAATGGCCTTAGAATTAAAAATAACAGAAGTTTGTTCAAAAGGGAGAAGTGTAAATACCTCTATTTTTGACAGATATGATATTTTAGAGTGTTAGTGAAAAAGAGGAAGACCCTCAGTGAGATGGATTGACACAGTGGCTGCAACAATGGGCTCAAGCCCATTGTGAGGATACTGTAGGAAAGTGTTTCGTTCTGTTGTGCATAGGGTCGCTATGAGTTGGAACTGACTTGACAGCACCTAACAACAACAATAACAACATGATATTGTAGCTATATCAACACATATCCAAGTTAAATTCCTTAGTTCGAAGATCCTGACATAAACAGTGAGTAGGAAAGCACTTCTCATAGCTTCTGCTTTCTGGTCTTAATCCAACCAAAAACAATAATAATAGCAAAAAATCTCTCCTGCATAGTATTTTCTTGGCTTCTCTGGTGGGAGTAGGAGCCCCGGGAAGGAGATAGTGGTGGTGGTAGAGTTTGTTTGATCAATAGCATTTTGTCTTATTGGTACCTAGTATACGTTTCACTGTGTTGTATTCTCACCAATTTATTATAAAAGTATAAATGCACTAGAGCACCTATCTCAGAGAAATAATTCTTTTCCATTTTGTGAGTCAAACTTAAAAACAGCCTCATGAAAAGCATCCTGAGACCTGTGAGTATTAAATGGAATTCAAAACATTTTTGAGGAACTTTACCTTGAGCTGGCCATAGACTCCTGCTAGTCTTAACTTTTGACTATTTTGAGGAGAAAATAGTGCATGACAAAGACAAAAGCCTATATGCATTCATTTGTATTTCTTTCTTGTCATAAATAAATTCATTTATAAAATGGTAAATGTAATGGGAAAGGATGTAAGTTTTTCTACGGTGAAGTGTTTTTTGAGTGGTTTATTGTGGAGGTTAGTAAGTGTGATGTTTTGGCAGTTTTAACTTATGCAGTTTTCTTTTATACTAGCTTGTGTTATTGCACGTAAATAAAAAGATAAACAATTCTCTAAGAAGTTTCAGATTGTATGGTGAACTGCTTATTGTATTTAAGAACATTTAATGCTGGGCTGGGGCTGTGTTCATTCAGCTCTAACATCACTTACCTGTTCTTGCATGTTGAGTATAAAAGGAGTCTTGCGTGATTGACTCTTTTAATAGAAACACAATGACATTAGAATTTCAGGGTTTAGTATTTTTTAGAAGAAAGGATTATTTATATATACTAATAAGCTAACTTAAAAAAAAATTTATTGTAGTCTAGATGAAGGTTTAAGAGCAAACTAGTTTGCTTTGTGACATTGTTTGCCATCCCCATGACATGTCAACACTCTCTCTTTCTTGACCTTGGGTTTCCCATTACCAACTTTCCTGTCCCCTTCTGCCTTCTCGTCCTTGCCCCTGGGCTGGTGTGCTCATTTAGTCTCCTTTTGTTTTATGGGCCTGTCTAATCTTTGGCTGAAGGGTCAGCCTCAGGAATAACTTCATTACTGAGCTAAAAGAGTAATGGGGGCCATACTCTTGGGGTTTCTCCAGTCTTTGACAGACCAGTAAGTCTGGTCTTTTTTTTTTTTTTTTTTTTGAGTTAGAATTTTGTTCTACGTTTTTCTCCAGCTCTGTCAGGGACCCTCTGTTGTCATCCCTGTCAGAGTAGTTGGTGGTGGTAGCTGGGCTCATAAACTAACCTTTTTGCTGAAAGTTTCCTTAGAAAATATTTGATAATGTTTGCTTCTAACTTAAAATAGAAATGCCCTTTGTTTCCCTGATAAGACTATGACTAGCTATACCTTTTGGAGGCTTTTCTTGTTGTAAATTTTAAATTTTTTTGTATTTTTCAAAATTTAAAAGCATATCTGTTCAAGTAAGAATGTTAGAAACAGATGAACTGAAATTAAATTTAAAAATCCTTGTAGAAAAAAATTTTTTGTTTTAATTTATTTAATTTTCATAGTACAGTGCTGAGATAAAGTTAATCTCTCTTTTAGCTTGTTTACGTTCCTGGCCTTCCCTTTTTCCTCCACCTAAGGCAGAGAAAATGGCTTAGTGGTAACCTTGCCCTGGATACAATTCAGTGTTTCTTTCTTGCTAAGTAAGTTTTTCTTAAGAAATGTATTTAATCTATTAATACTTCTCAAAATCACGACCATGGAACTAGCCAAAGAGGCTTGATACAATTATTTTGGTCTTGTGCTTCAGTGGGTTAAGCTTTTCTTTTTTCCTTTTATTTTTTATTTTGATATAATTAAAGACTTCAAGAAAAGTTACAAGAATAGTACAAAGAATTCCACATACTGTGCACCTAAGTTTCCGAAATGTTAACGTTTCACCATGTTTGCTTTATCCTTTTCTATCTCTAAATGTATACATTTACTCAAACAGTTCAGAAAACCAAGTTGCAAACATGTTGCCCCTTAAGTACTTTAGAGTGTGTTATATATCCACAGAAACATCCTCTTACATGACCATAATACAGTGATGAAATCAGTAAATTAGCATTGATATAATACTGTTATTTAACCCAAAACCCAGTTGTCTTTTTTTTAATAATTTCTAAGCTTTCTGTAATTTGCAAGGCATAGGGTGAGGGGAGGTTCTAAATTAATTTGGTTAAAATCATGGTATGATAGGATTTTTCTAGCTTTGTATGATTTCCACTTCCGTTGTATTTTATATCTCAGTAAATAATAGCAAATTGATAATGAAAAATAGCACGGTGTGTAGCATCTGAAGTAAGTGCTGTTAAAGGAGGCTTTAGAATATCAGAGGAGCTAAAAATCTTTTAAGACTTCTTTGGTCTTTGTTTTTGGTTTTCAACATGGAAAACTTAAATTGTGAAATTGTAATAACCTGTTTTCTTTTGATAGTTGATCTTATTCTTATGACTTATTGTTACTTGTATGCTGTATTGTATGTATCAAATTTAGGCTTATCAAAATATTCTATGTCCTTTCTTAAAAAGATTTATAGGCTTTCCCCATTTCAGAGATTCATGTTCTGAGAATAAGTGTCTCTGTAGTTCTGGTTCTTAGTGGATGGACTTGTCTTAGTTTTACTGATTATTCTCATCTATCCTAACTTTCCTGTCTTTTCAGTGTGTAGGATCTGATTTGTTTGTCATTTTCCTTACTGGTGTTAGAGAATTGCTATACATTTTCTGACTTTTGATTGTCAGTTTATTGAAAAAGAGAAGACTTTTACCTTTTTTGTTTTTTTTTAATATAAATTATAAGTGAGCTTCCTTGGCTCATTTTCTAATTTTCACATTAGTATGTGTCATTTACTGTTCCCTGTTCAAGATGGCAAATTGTCAGCAGGAACTGTAATATTTCTAGAAAGTGTGGCTTTGATTCAAATTGTGTATATAGTAGGCATTTTAATGTATTTAAAGAGAAATTCTTTTGTAGCAGTGACATTCGGTAGGCTTTGAGAAACAACTTGGCGTGCACTGTAAAACATTAATGGTGATGAAGCTTCCTCTCTTTAGGAGATAGTGTGAATTAAAGAGAGTTCATGAAATGTCATTACAGTCTCTCTAGTTTCAAATCAAAGACACCAAAATTATTTCATAGCAAAGGGATGTTCTTTTCAGGTAAGGGAATTAAGTAGTTTATGTTTTCTTGCTTTGATCTTATACTTTTAAAACTGTCCATTCAGATGAGCTTAGTTTTTCTTTTTCAAGAAAATATCCTGATTTGGGCATTTTGGCTAGTATCAGACAGTTATCAGATTGATGGTCTTTAAGTCAGTATACTTTTAAAAATGCAGAATCATTTTATAGTTAGTTATTTTTCCTTAATATTGTAGCATTATATTTTCTTAAGATGACAGTTGATTGTCATGTAAAAGCTTTATTTTAATTAGAATGATAGAAAATAGGACAAATCTAGCAAATATGACTTGACTAAATCCTTATTCTAAAATAAGCTCATCTTTTCTAGATTGTTTTCCTGTTAACTGTTGGTTTCATTTTAGAATGTAAGGTTGATCAACAACGGGAAGGTGTATTTAAGAAGGAGAAAATTTTAGTTCAGTAAAAGAACGATCTTACCTAAGATAATAGTGTATGGAAAGGTAAATCTTATATGTAATGAGTATATGGGTTTCTGAATAAGTGTGGATTTAAACATAGTAACACAACAGTAGTCCATAGTTTGGCTTACACACTGCGTACCAGTACCAGTTGCTGTTGAGTCGATTCCAACTCATGATGACACTGTGTGTGTCCGAGTAGAACTGTGCCCCGTATGGTTTTCAGTGTCCGATTTTTTGGAAATACATCATCAGAACTTTTCTTCTAAGGCACCTTTGGGTGGACTCAAACCACCACCCTTTCACTGTTTACCCTTCCTGACCCTCCCTTTCATTTAGCAGTTGAACGCATTAACCATTTCCACCATCCAGGGACTCCTACACACTGTGTAATTAGTATGTTTTTCATTGTACTCTAACCTAGAGGGTTGTGCATTTGTATAGGACTTGGTGGTCATCATGGTTAAGAGGGTTTTGTTTTGTAATTTACGACAAAGAAAAAAAGTTTTTCTAGCTGTAAGAATTAGAAAAAGTATTTCTCTTTTGATAGATTCCAGCAGTAATTTGGGAATCAGTTTTTATTTAATGCCAAATGACTTTTCAAATACAGCTTTGAATATTGGTATTAATATTATGTGTAATATTCTTTTACATTAATACCATTGCAGTTTTCCCATTATTGCTAATCAGACTTCAGATTTTTCATTTGATTTTTGTTGCATTTAGTATAGTTTGTATATTGGGTTGGTTTAGAAAGAAAATGAAAGAGCATTAAATTTACAGTTGAAAGACGTTCCACAAAATAGATGCTAGGTAAGACTGTGGTTTTTGGTAATGAAATATGCTTTAATATTTTTTAACAGCTTTTGAAAAACTGGGATTAGAGCAGAGAAGTTCCATCTTTTTCTCAACTTGGCACTATGCTACACAGCAGCTAATGTTTGCTTATAAACCCATTGCCGTCAAGTTGATTCTGGCTCTTAATGAAACAATAGGTCAGAATACAGCTGCACCGTAGGGTTTCCAAGGAGGGGCTGGTGGATTCAGACTGCTGGCCTTTTGGTTAGCAGCTGAGCTCTTAACCACTGCACCTATAGTGTGCAAATATATATATATGTGTGTGTGTGTGTGTGTGTGTGTAAAATTTGAGAACAGCCTCAGTTTAAACAATGGTTTTCGTGTTGTGTAGAAAGATTATGACTTCACATTAGCTATGTGACAAAACTTTTTCTCAAGTCCTTATTATGTTTGACATTAGCTATCATATGGTGAAATTATTTACAGGATAATAGCTGCTAAAATCAAAATTTATGGTGCACACAAGTATAATAAGAATGAGCAGGGAAAGATCAACAATGGCTTCACAGAGGAGATTGGACTGGCGTGAAGGAATGGGTGGAATTTGGATCGGCCGAGGTACCTGTTAGAGAGTAGGAACATATATTTCTGTATATGTGTATGTGTGTAAGAGGTATTCTCACTTTTCTGAGGAATAGATGAGGACAGAAGAATATATAGGACAAAATGTGGTAGAAATAGATAGGACAAAAAGTGATAGAAATAAACTTGGTGAACATTGAAGAAACTGACTTGACCAGCGAATAGGGGGATTCATATTGTGGGGCATTAAAAAATATGATTGGGTAGGAAAAATAGGATTAGATCATGAAGCACATGCAGTTAAGCAGTAGATTTTAGGTAACCTTGATCCAAAGGGAGTTGAAGTGTCAATTGTGATTTCTGAGGAAGAGGTGATGTAGTAAGTGTGATAATTTTAGAAAATTAATTTGGCTTCAGTATTCAAATTTGACTGAAGCCAAATGTAGTTTGTAGATAGAAAAACCAATTAAGAATTTATTGAAGTAATTCATACGAATGAAAGTCTTGATTAGAATGAAGCCAGTAGAGAGAGACTAATCTGTAGAATGTTTTAAAGAAGAATTTTTTTTAAACAACCCTCCCTCTTTATATTACAAGTTGAAGAGGAATTGTTAAGATGTAGTTGTAGAATTTTAAGAACAAAACCTAAAACAGTGGTAGTGATAATCATAGAAGTGGGAAAGCTATAAAGGAGAGCTACTTTCTGAGAAAGGGTGATTTTTTTTTTTTTTCCATGTTGAAGTTAACTCATGGTTGGACATTGAGTTGGCAGTTTTTGGTTAATTAGAGAATTTGTTTACAGTCACTTAATTGTCAGGGGGAAATCCTCAGATAAACACCAAGTTTCTCTGTTATAATTATTTTAGAAAATTCAGACAACACGAATATATTACATATTTATATTCAGAAGTGGAGTTGCTTAAGCATTTCTAAGAAGTGAGAGAATACTGTAAAATAGAGCTAATAGATGGACAGGATTCCACCAATTTCTATTAAGTCTTACCCTCTGATTGTCTTGTATTGTGTTAAGGATACATAGTTAAGTGATAATTCCTCAGAGTTATTAATATTCAAATAGCCATAGTGAATTTAATAATTATGTAGCAGTCTAATTAGTCTATTAATGTTGCTCTCAGTGAATATGAGGTCATAATGTTTGATGCTGGATTTGCCTATTTTAATTGTTTTTAGTTTGTATTGATTATAAAGCATTTTCTTTTGGCTTTGCAAGTTATTCTTTTCTGACACTCTTAAGACTGAATTTTCTTTCAAAACATGTAGATAAGAGAAATGATTCTCCTGCTATTTCTGAAGTTTAAAGTTAAAATGAAGAGATCCCACAGTCTTGTAGAAACTTTTGAGTTTGGTCTGAATTATATCTAGGCAACAGGTGAAATTCTCCCTTTAAATCTATGGACTGTGATAGTGTTGACATTTCATATCATTCTGAAAAATTTAGAAAATTCATGAGTAAGTCAAGATTTTTCAAATTTGGACAAGGTAAAAAAATATTTTGAGAGAAAATGGGGTTGATTCATTAAAGACAAATTTGTGCTAATGTGGCAGGGAAAAATCCACACAAACACCAGGGAAAGTTAAATGTTTGTTGCACCCTCATAAAAATGGTTTGTGCTTATTTCTTTGCTAACGTTTTTAAACAGTCAATTAAGTTGAAAAGCCCGTGTCTTATTCTTTATATTGTTAAATGTTAACCTTAAACACCAAAATTTTCCTTTATTTTTATTGTACCTTCTTTGTCTCTGAGTTTACAGAACTTTGATTGAGTAACAGAAGATTCAATTGTTTATATATGTGTAACACATTACTGTTCAACAGTGGATATCTTAATATTTAAACCCTTTTATTATCTTTTTTTTTGTGGGATGGTATGGAAAATTTATGAAGTCAATACTTAGCTGATCCTTTTATAAGTAGAACTTCTTAAAAATGACCTGTTTTGTTAGTAAAATTGGTTTTAAAGGCTGCTAGCAAGTCAAGCGGTAGCCATTAAATGAACCTCTACTGCTGACATTAATTTACAGGGGTCAACAGGACAAAACTCTACGACATGATAGCTGATCTGGGAGATGATGAGCTGCCTCACATCCCTTCAGGAATCATTAATCAGTCTAGGTCACCCTCCACTAGAATGACTGATCATGAACGTGCAAGAGCAGAGGAAGGTACAAAATTTAGCTACCATGTTTATTTACATTGCAGAAATGTTAATTCCAAATTACATCTCCTTGATGTTGCAAATTTGCTGCCATTTGAGTATAATTAGAAGTATTTTAAATGATCTTCAGACAAGTTGGGCAAGCTTTTGGTACAGTTGTCTTAGAGATTTTGAAATTCTGGGCTTCTATTTATACTTTGTTTTTAATGTTAGGTGCAGTTATTTCTATCACAGGTCAGTTCACAGTATTCTTTCTGAAATTTAACTTTAGCTTACAGATGTAGTGGCAGTAAAATAGTAATTTTAAAAAATAGAAAAGAATTGTTACATATAGAAAAGAACTATTAGCCATTTTGTCATATTGCTTGAATTTAGCGATTAAATAGCTATCATCTATTAGGAGACAACTAAATTTCAGGCATTGTGCTTGGAACTTTACATATATATTATTAATAAATATATATGTAACTACTGCCTAATTTAATCATTCTAGAACAAGGTAGTGTCCATTATTCTTTAATTTGGTAGCAGTATATACTATTTGGAAATGAATTTTTAAAAATTTGCCCAAACCAAAAGTGTGTAGGAAATGAAAGTGCTGTACTTAAGTATTTTCTCTGAAATTTATTTCAGCTAAAGATAGGTAGCTGTATTTGAGTACTTTCTAATTCTAGATCTAGATAGTTATAATCCCAAGTAATTAGACTGAATTCTTACCAGAAGGTATTGTGATGTGTAAGATATGTATTAGATAATTTATTATCTAGTAATTTGTTACATAGATTAAATTCCATTGATACCCTGCTTTTGCTGTGTAAGGTGATTTGTTTGATGCCTCAGTCAAAAATTTTCAAGTATTTCTTACTCTTTTTTAAGATTTTTCTGGTAGCTCATTTTCCTACAGTTTAAGTTAAAGAGTATAGCATTTTTTCCTTATTACAGTCATCTCTGAAAACATTTACTAACACCATAATCTGTACAAATTTGAGGAAGAATTAAGAGAATCACTAAAATAATAAAACCAAACCAAAAAGTACTAAAGCATGAACAGCACCAGAAAAGTGAAACAGTCTCTGTTGGTTTTTCTAGATCTTTTCTCCACTATTCAACTATTCTCCTGTTTTACTTTAGAGAGTATTTAAAAATTAACATACCAGTTCCAATATTTTTTATTTTACGCGTTTAGTAGCTACTTTTAGCTTCTTTGGTCTATTTTGCTAAATAATGCATAGGAAAACTTGCTAAAATTTTAGTAATTAATGTACATTGAGCAAAAAGATTTTATAGTAGATTTTAGTTTGAGGTAAAGCCATGTATAAACGTTTCAAACCACCAACTTGTGGAAAGAGCCAGTCAAGGGCGACCCTATACAAAACCATTTTAGAGCTCTGTGTGTGTGTGTGTGTGTGTCTGTATGTATGTTTTCAAAGAAAAAATGTACATCGTGTCATGTTTTCTTTTTTATTGTTACAGATAGTAACTATGAAATAATTTTAAAGTAACTAGTAAATACATTTGTTTAATATTAAATACAGTTAAGGAGGTTCCAAGAACCTTGGTAGGGCAGTGGTTAAAGTGCTTGTCTGCCAGCCAAAAGGTCAGCCATTTGAACCCACCATCTGTTCCATGGGAGAAAGATGTGGCAGTCTGCTTCTGTAACAGCCTTGGAAACCCTTTGGGGCAGTTCTGCTCTGTCCTGTAGGGTCACTAAGAGTCAGAATTGACTGGAGGGCAGTGAGTTTGGTTTTTGGTTAGAAGGAGGTTCCAGAAGGAGAAGAGAGAGTGACTGAATAAAAACTGGGCCAGAGCAACACAGTAACTTGTAAAAGCCCTGTTTAAGTCAGTGATCTAACCCTTTCTTGATTGTGGGAGGAAGGAAAGAGGCGAATATTTGGTAAACATGAACCTTATTATACTTTTCAAAGGGTAAATCTTATTAGAATTTGTTATTTAAGGAGATTTGAATTCTACTTAGAGCTAAGAAGGGAACATTAGAGTTCATAATCTCTTATTTTCAGTGGCAACCCCCAACTTCGTGCTTTCCTGTTGAAGTCCATGTCATACCTCATTTTGTAAAGAAAAAGGTCTGTTTTCAAGGAGAGATGCTTCTACATTACAACCTTTTAGACTGTTGTTGCTAAAGACTTAAGACTTACTATGTCGCCACTGGCATAAATGGAATCACTTATTGGGCTTATTGATTCTTAAGGTTTGACAGAATTGGAGGAGAAAAGGAAGGGTTTGATATGTGAGCTCCAGGTTTTCTTGATTATAGTGTCCATCAAAAGGAGGATCAGTTACAAGAGTATAAAAAGGACCCTGTTATCTTTTTGATAGTCCCTAAGATTGCCATAAGAGAAATTCTGCTATGATAATAGTGTTCTTAAATTACTTGAACAAATCTCTTAGACTACCTACTAAAAAGTGTCATAATTTCCACCATCAAAGTAGAAACTACTTTTAATCATTTTTTTTTATTGAGTTGGTAATGACATTTTTTTACGCTTATGTTACCATGTGTTATAGTAGATAACGTTTATTAACATTAATTGAATGATTTTATAGAAGTTAATTCCCTCTGCAGAGAAACGAGGGAAATAAATTGAGTATCTGCTGTGATTAACACATGCCACGTTGATGGGTGATTATGGAAAGCAGAAATAAATACCTTTAAAGATTTTTTTCACATAGATATATATGTAAACAAATGCTGAGTGGTCAGGGTAGCTTGCTATATATAAATATATGTGTATATATATAGTTAAGGAGCCCTGATAGTGCAGTTGTTAAAGTGTTCAGCTGCTAGCCAAACGCTCGGTGGTTTGAACCCACCAGCTGCTCTGTGGGAGAAAGATGTGGTAGTCTGCTTCCAAAAAGATTACAGCCTTGGAAACTCTATGAGGGCAGTTCTGTTCTGTCCTATAGGGTCACTTTAAGTCAGAATTGACTCACTAGCAATGGGTTTGGTTTTGATATCCGCAGTTAGGGAGAGGAATGCATTCATATGTCTAGTTAGAAATACAGATTTTTTTGTTTAATCAGTTAATCCAAAACTACAGTATATCTAGCTGATACTGCCCAGCACTTCTCTTGGCATGACCCTAAATTTGTCAGTGTCTGATTAGAATTATCTCTGCAAAAAGAATATGTAAGAATGCAAAAAAAAAAAAAAAAATTATTATGTGAATCTTATTGGACTTTTATCAAGATTTATGTTAGTGGATGATTTTATAATTGTGAGTGGGAGGTATTGTGGCATTTTGTTCTGACTTGTCTTAGAAAAAAATTATTATGAGTTTAAAGGAAAAACATCTCTTTGTACTGGCTAAAAATGCTTTGAGTAAATATTTTCTAATGAAGTTCATATAATTTTTAAACATAATTTTAAGGTCTTGATTTTATACTTCTTAGCTGCTGCTGGTATTACCAGTAACTGCATAGGAATGATCAATGCCACAGATTGTTCAGATTGAACACATATAATCATTGAAAGATTAATTAAATACTACTTAGTATCCTTTTGTATATTAGTTGTTGACTCACAGCTTCATTTTAGCAGTATCGTTTAGGACCTTACTTCAGTCACATTATATGATTTTGATATGGTAAAATAATAAAATAATAAGGTATTCTAAGTAAAGATTAATTTTACTTTTACCGTAGTGTATATCTAGAAGGCATTGAATTATATTTTCTCAGAATCATTTTCAGTAGTATTAATGATGACCGTCAGATTTCATACCTGTTGTTTCTTATAGCATATTAAATTTATATCATTTTTTATATAAAATTTTCAAAACTGATGATCAGCTTGGGTTTTGATACAATGTTTCCCTTTTAAATTTGCTCATCAATTTTAAATGTGTTTGATATGTTATTTTGTATTATAACGACTTTCCCCTTGCATCTTAGGGTTAAAATTTTGCTTTCAAAGCATATGTGTGAAATGATATTGAGAATTATTGCTTACACTATAACTGTTAGAGCAAAATATTCGTAAAATAGTAGTTACTTAAATTATGGCAGAGTTTGATTTCAGTTGGTCAACACTGTATAAAAAATTTTTTAAATAATTGAATCAGAACTGTAAATGGAAAGCTGCAATAATTTGTATGATAAACATGAAAAAACTAAGTAAAATGAGACTTTCACCTGAGTTTAGTTTGAAACTGAGGTGGCAGATAATTCTAATCAGAAATTTAATGTTACGTATTTAGTTGATAGAGATTAGTTGCTTCATATTAGAAGTATTGTGGTAAATAAAAGTAGAAGTTAAAATAAAAATCATAGTCAAAGTTTTAAAGCTAGAAGACATTCTAAAGGTCACATGGATAAACGCTGGACAGAAAGGAAACTGACATTATCGCTGCAACTGGCGGAATATGAGCAATTAAGGCTTCCTTTCAGTAAGCTGATACGTTGTATAGCGGGGTGTTTAGCAACCATTTATTTTTGAATGCTTGTATTAATTTTTATCAGGTACTAGCATACCTAGCAATTCTAAGCAAAGAGGATTTAGAAACGAGATCTGATGCCCATGAGTAGCTGGCATGTAGTATTTAGCTCCTTTATTTAAATTGTGTTCTGTTTCTTATTTAACATGTAAACTGTAGTTAGAAATGTGCAAATGATGGAGCTGGAGAGAGATTTAAATAGAAAAAGTTTTTATACCCCACCTCTAGAATAATGTATCTAGTGCATATTTTGTTGGTAGAAGGTTATGTTGCAGTTCTACATGTTTGTTTATTACCACTCAGTAATAGGACTTTTTGGGTGGAAGATTTAAGGAGGGAAAAATGGGAAAATAAAAATGAGTTATATTACTGAATATTATAACTGTTAAGTGCTTACATTTCCCCCACAATATTGTCTTGTACTGTATGATTTTTCAGCATTTAAGAAGCGGTTTTGTTCTTTATAGCTGAACCAATAACGTTTCCATCTGGAGGAGGCAAGTCATTTATTATGGGTTCTGATGATGTTTTGTTAAGTGTACTGGGCCTTGGAGACCTTGCAGACTTGACGGTAACAAATGATGCAGACTATAGTTATGATGTAAGTGCAGTTTTATTTTTAATTTTTTAATGATTTAATAGAAGGCTCCTTATTTTTGGAATCACTTCTAACTAATACAGAATTAATATCAAGGTGCATGGAAGAGATAAATTTAAAATAAGTGTGTCAATGTGTTGATTTGAAGTGACTTTTTTTTTTTTTTTTTTAAATAACTACTTTCTTTGTGGTGTTTAAATTATTCTTAGGTATTGTGGTGGATTAGCCAAGAGTTTGGGATGATTACCTTAAAACGTTGGTAGATAAATATCTATCTTGAGTAGTCAACTCTCAATTTATCTACACAAATTAAGCCACATTTTGGTGTTAACAAGAAAAAAAAATAGATAACCCGAATCACTTATTTGCCTTTAGGATACTTGTTAAAAAGCATGTTTTATTTTTGAACTTTTATTTTCTTAAGGATAATGTTAAAGTTGGCTTGCATGGTCTCCTGACTGCTTAGTTACTTCTTCATTTGAAGGGTAGGGAGATGCTGGGGAGATGGGAAGGACAGTGTTAGAAGTGAAACTAGTCTTGGGTGAAATTTGATTTCTAGAAAATTAACACTCAATTGAGAGTTAACTATACTTGTTTAGATTTTTATGTTAATGACTTTGTAGTTTTCCAGCAAATTAAATTTCTTTCCTTTTATAATGAATTTCTTTTCTTTTTACATTTTTTGCTTGTTAAAATGCTTCTTAGAGATGTCAGCCTTGGTGGGCTGGATTATCCTCATTAATATTTTTAAAGTATATAAACAATTAAATTTTAGTAAACTTATGACTGCTTTAGAAGTGGTTGCACAGCCTGTCTTTACAGATGGAGAAGTGAAGGTAAAAAGATAACCTGTGTCAATATCAACATAGTGAAAGTGGGATGGAAATGTTCTTAAAGTGTCTTTAGTTCAGATTTGGAAAGTACCTTATCTTGCTGCCTTTAAAAATTTCTCATGCTAATAAATGGTAACTATACTCTTACTACTGTACCCTTGGCTTTTCGGTAATAATTTATATAATTTTTAATGTTTTCATTTAAAGTATTGCAGCAATGGTAGTTATTGTGTTGTTCTCATCTGACATTTTATAGGAGCTTTGGGTTTAGCTTGCTGATTAGATTAAAACAGATTATGGGGCTCTTCATTCATTCTAGGTATTTGAAAGACTAATGATATTATTCTTCTGACATTTAATAGGAGCTTTGGGTTTAGCTTGATGATTAGATTAAAACAGATTATGGGGCTCTTCATTTGATCTAGGTATTTGAAAGACTAATGATATTATTATTCTTAGTTCTTAAACGATAAAAATGTGTTGTTATATAATTTTTAAGGTACATTATATTTCCACTGGACATTTTAGCAAAACAGTTTTAAGTATATGTTTTAAACACACCAAAAACAAAGAATTCCACATGCCTATCCATTCACTACTTTTACCACTAAACTTTGCACTGTCTTTGTTTTTAGTTGCCTGCCAATAAAGATGCCTTTCGAAAGACATGGAACCCCAAGTATACACTACGTAGCCATTTTGATGGAGTACGGGCATTAGCTTTTCATCCTGTAGAACCTGTGCTGGTTACTGCCTCTGAGGACCATACTCTGAAACTTTGGAACTTGCAAAAAACAGTTCCTGCCAAAAAGCAAGTATTTTAATGCTAGCCTGTTTTTTTTTTGTTTTTTTCCTCCAGATTTGCTAATAATTACAGGTTAATCATTCCTCTTTACTGTCCCATATCTTTTATGCACACATTTGATCTTACCAATGACTCTTTAATATCAACCAGTGATTTATGATTATTTAATTGCCTTCTCTCCGCCTCTTTTTTCTCCCCTCTTTTAGGAGTGCCTCTTTAGATGTAGAGCCTATCTACACATTTAGGGCCCACATGTAAGTTTTCTTGAATTTGTACCTAATTAACAACCTTAGTTATTATTAATGGTTAATTACCCATCTATAAGCCTTTAATTTTGTCATAATATGTAAGTTGAATAATATGTCATTTGATTAATAATTGTCTTGGTGAGAGTATAATCAGTATTATTCAAATGTACATATTTACTGTAAACAGTTTTTAGATGCCACATAAATTCAGAAGTTGGGGGATGAGCGTGTGGTTTCTTTTTAGGCTTTGTAAGTAATTTTTTTCCCTTTCTTTTTATAATAGTGGTCCTGTTCTGTCATTAGCTATTAGTTCTAATGGAGAACAGTGTTTCAGTGGTGGTATTGATGCAACCATCCAGTGGTGGAATATGCCTAGCCCTAATGTGGATCCGTATGATACGTATGGTAAGTAAAAGGCTCAAAACATTTTTTTTATGTTAATGAAGCATGTAAAAATAAATACCTCAAATATTACTATAAGATTTTTCTGGATTTTTTTTTTTTGTTGAGAATATACACAATAAAACATACACCAATTCAGCAGTTTCTACATGTACAATTCAGTGACATTGATTACGTTCTTCAAGTTGTGCAACCATTCTCACCCGCCTTTCTGAGTTGTTCCTTCCCCATTAACATAAGCTCACTGCCCTCTAAGTTTCCTATCTAATTTTTCGAGTTGCTGTTGTCAGTTTGATCCCATATAAATAATTCTTAAAAGAGCATAAATGCTTAAGGCAGACCTTTTTTACTACTTAAGCTAAACTATTATTTGCTTTTAAGAAGACTTCAGGGATTCTTTTGGTTTAAGGTTTAAAGATTATCTCAAGGCAATAGTTTCGGGTTTATCCAGCCTCCATGGCTCCAGAAAGTCTAGAGTACATGAGGATTTGAAATTCTGTTCTGTATTTTCCCCCTTTTGATCAGGATTCTTCTGTAGAATCTTAGATCAAAATGTTTAGTAATGGTAGCCAGGCACCATCCTGTTCTTCTGGTTCCATGGCATAGAAGGCAGTTGTTCATGGAAGCAATTAGCCACACGTTCCATTTCCTCCTCCTGTTCTTGACTCTCCTCCCTCTGTTGGCTCCAGACAAATAGAGTTATTACAGGGTATCTTAGGCTGGATTATCTAGAGAAGCAAAACCAGTAAAGTATATAAATATATAAATAGATTTATATCAAGGAAATAGCTCATGCGGCTGTAGAGGCTGGAACATCCCAAGTCCGTGGGTGAGTCCTGATTGATGTAGCCGTGGGGGCTGGTGAAAACATGATCAGCAGGTCAGACAGCAGGGCTGTTGCTCACAGGCTGCGAAGACTGACGAATCCCAAGATCGGCAGGCAAGATCGTAAATAAACTGCTAGTTCAAGTCCCAAGAACCGGAGGTCGGGCGAACAGGAGCCAGCTGCAGGATCCAGAGGGAGCAAAAGCCTGTGAACCTTGCCAGAAAGTCCACCTATATTGGATGCAGGCCATGCCTCCAAGGAAACTCCCTTTCAACTGATTGACTACTCACAGCATATCCCATCATGGAGGTGATCACATATCAACTCATAGAAGTGATCACATCATCATATGACTGCCAAACTACATCATAACTGCCAAACCACTGAGAATCATGGCCCAGCCAAGTTGACACACAACCTTAACGATCATGCAAGGTTTTTTAACCATATATTTGTCTCATTTAGTTCTTCCGCTTGCTAGCAGCTTCCTTTATTAAAGAGAAAAATTAAATGTCATGCCATGAGTATTTAAGCTTGAATTGGTACTTTCTCTATGATGTTAAAAAAAAAAAACTATATTATTTACAATGTAAATAGTAATTTTTACACAAATAATGTGCGCCTTCTACATTTCTTTGCCAACCATGCCCTCTCCTCATGAGATATTTTCATAAGCACCGCTATGCCAATTTTTTTTTCCTGTTTAACAGTTCTTGGCCAGACAGTTAAAGCTTGAACCCTGGGGCTAAGACCAGAGAGTAAAAGGACTTCATTCAGTGCAGAGTGTATGGGTGAAAAGCAGTCTGATGGAAACAACAAATAAATGTTTTGCGTCATCATAGAAAGAGAAATATTTATTAAATTTGACAGGATAGATGTCATCATTGGTAATCGTTGCAAGGGTTGTTTTGATACGGTGATGGTATCAGAAGCCTTATTGGGGAGATTTGAAAAGTAAATGGGAGGAGGTGGTTCTAGATGGTGGCGTAGTCAGATGCCTCATGATGTCTCTCTTAAACAATGACCTGAGAGAACAAGTGAATTGGATATAGATGACAACTTTGGAACCCTGAGCATTGGAGGCAAGGCTTGAAGAATTGGACAGAGTGCCAAGTAGAAGGAGAAACTTAAAAAAACAGTGGACACAGAGAGTTATGGCTCACTAGCGTCTTGCCAGCCAAACCTGCACAACTGGACCATACTGAGACAAAACAAATAGCATTCCCAGCAGGAGGGACTCTGCACCCACATCCAGAGTCAGGCAGGAGTGCTCCCTGCTCTGCAAAAGACAGTGTTTTGCATCCTACTTTGGTGAGTAGCACTGGGGTCTTAAAAGCTTGCTTGTGAACAGCCATCTAAGATACAACTATTGGTCTCTTCCCATCTGGAGCAAAGGAGAGTGAAGAAAAGCAGAGACTTAAGGGAGCAATTAGTCCAAAGGACTAATGGACCACGTGAACCACAGCCTACATGACCCGGAGACCAGAAGAACTAGATGGTGCCCGGCTGCTGCTACTGACTACTCTGACTAGGATCACAATAGAGGGTCCCAGACAGAGCAGGAGAAAAATGTAGAACAGAAAATCAAATGCACAAAAAAGACCAGACATACTAGTCTGCAGAGACTGAAGGAACCCCTGAGTCTATGACCCTAGACCTGCTTCTGACTTGGAAATGAAGCCATTCCCAGAGACCACCTTTCTGCCAAACAATGGACAAGCCCATAAAATAAAACAATAATACCTGAGGGGAACGTGTTCTTTAAAACAATCAGTTACACAAGATCAAAGGGACAATATTTGCCTAAACGCAAAGATGAGAAGGCAGGAAGGGGTAGAAAATCCAGACGAAACGGGGAACCAGCGTGGAAATCAGGAGAGTGCTAACACATTTTGGGGCATGCAACCAATGTCTGGGAACACTTTATGTATAAACTGTCGAATGAGAAACTAATTTGCTCTGTAAACTTTGACCTAAAGCACAATAAAATAAATGGGAGATAAAAAGTATATTTACTCAGTATGCTTTTCTACTGTTTGCAGAAAGGGAAGGATTTTTTAATTTGAGGGATTATTCTGGAGTATATTTATTTCTATGGGAATGGTCCCATGGAGGAGGAGAATATGACAGTGTACTAGAGAGAGAGTAAACATGAAAGCAAGTTAGTGAGTTGAATGGAATCAGAATATACCTTTGATAGGAAGGAGAACAATTCCATGCTTGTATCTGGAAGCAGGGAGAAGATGATTTCAGACACTATTAGATTTATAGATTGGGTAGCAGGAAGATGGGCAAGGGATTCCTATTTGAATGCTTATACTTTCTCAGTGAAGTATGAGGGATAATATTCATGAGGAAGGGAGGTTGAGAACTGTGAGAATTGTGGAGACAGTAAGAAACATTCATGGAAAGTGGGAGAAAGCATTTACTAGAGAAACAGGATTATCAGACTAACAATGCCCAGCATTATTAGCCACCAGCTGTCTATCAGTTGGTAAATGGATAAATAAAATGTGGTATAGCCATACAGTGGAATATTATTTGGCAGTGAAGAGAAATGAAGTACTGATAACATGCTACAGTATGGATGAACCTTGAAAACATTATGTTAAATAAAAGAAGCCAGTTACAAAAGGCCACATATGGTATGATTCCATTTATATGAAATGTCCAGAATAGGCAAATCTGTAGACACAAGGTAGACCAGAGTTTGCCTAGGGCTGTGGAAAGGGGGCAGGGCGATTGGGGAAAAATGGCTGAATGGTGAAAATGTTTTAAAATTAAATTGATTATGGTAATAGTTGCACAACTCTGTTAGCATAATAAAAACCATTGAATTGTACACTTTTAAGTGCGTGAGTTGTATGGTATGTGAATTCTGTCTCAAAGCTGTTAAAGCATATGTTCTTTACTCAAAATTGGGAAAATACCGGAAAGTATAGAGGGAATAACAATAACCCATGTAACTCTACCTCTTAGAGGCAGCCACTGTGTACACTTTGGCTTATTTTCTTATGGCATTTAGGTATGGTCTTTGTATGTAAGTATATGGTAAATTATATACCAAAGCATTTCTTTTATTTTCTTTTAGCTAATTTGTTTGTTTCTTTCTTCCAGAGCCAAATGTTCTAGGTGGCACTTTAGTTGCTCATTCAGATGCAGTCTGGGGTCTTGCTTACAGTGGTATAAAAAATCAGTTACTGTCTTGTTCAGCAGATGGCACTATTAGGTTATGGAATCCACAAGAAAAATTGCCATGTATTTGCACTTACAATGGAGACAAAGGTAAGTGAATTTTGCTCTAATGGAAAAGCTAAATTTTTTTTGGTTGGAATTTGGAAGATAGACAAAGCAATTGAGTTATTATTTCTTTGCTGCCCCAAAGAGATGTGTTGAAAGAATTTTATAACACTTGTGACAGTCTTTTGACTCTTAGTTGGTTTTTTTTGTACACAAGAAAAGCGTTTTGCAACTATATTCCACTCAGTGCTTTTTGACCTTTTCAGGTCATGTCCCATATAGAAAATATAACTATTTGTATGGAACAAAGGGTAGACAAATGAGGCTACTAACAGAGAAATACAGGGGAGGCCTTCCACCTGTTCCATGTAATAGCTGCCCCAAAGACTGAAGGGATCAGAGTTTCAAACATATTCACACCATGGCCCTAAGCATGCTGGCTGGGAAGTCCAGCCATAGTCATTGAAACAGTACCCTTAACTGGAAGTACACATTGAGTTAAATGCATGATTTCAAATCTTTTTCTGTTCAAGAAGGTTTTAGCCAGTCTGCATTGTAAGACATTTATTTATGTATGTATGTATACATTTTTGGTCTTATTTGCCAAGTAATTTTTTTAAATTATTTTTTAATCAGACCTTTTGTTTTCCTTAAGGGGAAAAAAAGATTTACTGTTGTAAGATATTTTAGGTGAGTAGTATATGCTTAATTTTGTTGGGTGTCTATAGTTCACAAGTAGGCCAAAAGACTCACCTAGAAATTTTTTTCTCCCTTCGAAGAAAATGCACAGAACAAATACCTTTTGCATATGTCTGCTCTTACTTTAAGAGCCCCTAGTTATATTTTTCTTATAATGTTAACTTGAATGTTATAAAAACTTTTTAAATAATTGAGGAAAAATTACCTATTATATCACCATCCTAACACAATTGCTTTTTTTCCATTATTAACAGTATTTCGAGAATATTTGATTTCCTTTTTCTCGTTAGAAAAGTAGGAATTTCTAAATTACTGTGTTTGTACTGTATCTTTTGGGCTCCTTTCAGAGCATGGAATACCTACATCAGTGGACTTTATAGGCTGTGATCCAGCTCATATGGTGACCTCTTTCAACACTGGTAGTACAATAATTTATGATTTAGAGACATCACAGTCATTGGTGATACTTTCATCACAGGTAGATTCTGGTAAGTTTTCATGCATTTCTTTGAAACTCTTAAAAGAATTTCTATACAATACATGATGATTTTCCTTTTAGCAGATTTTTATATTTTTACTCTTTGAATTTAGTACGGCAAAATAATTAGTTTCAATATGTGATATTTGTATTTTATATTATTCATATTGTTTCCGCCAATCATTCTTAAAAGCGTAGGTGGGTATATGGGATAGAAGCGTGAGTGGAGCAGTGTGAAGGTAAAAGCAAAGGAAATAATTTTAGACATTTTATGGAAATACATATGAAAGTAGAATAATAAAGCTGTTGTACTCATTGTTTAGCTTCAGTAGTTACCTATAAATGGCCAATGTTAGAAGGATGGGATGTGTGGTGTGTGTTTTACAATTTATTTAAATAGGGATCTAAATAGAGTACGTGCACTGAGATTGGTTGATAGGTCTCTCAGGTATCTCTTCATCTATAGGTTCCTCATCTCTTACTTTCCTTGCAGGTTGTTTTTTTTTTTTTAATTGTTAATGAAATTGAATAGGTTGCCCTATAGATTTTCCCCCGGTCTGGATTTTGCTGCTTATCATTTAATGTGCTCCTCTGTCCCTTTTATTTCTTCTAAATTGGTAATAGATGTAGAGGCTTATTTAGATTCAGGTTAAATTTTTTTTCTTTTTTAATTTTAAAATGTTTTTGGCAAGACTTTCATAGGTGATTTGTGAACTTTTATCAGAAGTTAAATAATGTTTAGTACTTATCTTCTTGTGATGTTATCAGCCTTGGTGATCATTGACTGGGTCCGTTAGCTGTTGGAAAATGATGATTTTCTAATTCTATCACCCCTTCATTTATTAGCTGGAATATTTCTATAAAAAGTGATGTCCCCTCATCAATAATTTGGTTATCTTGAAATTAGCAATTGTATATGAAAGGCTAAGATAAACGAGCCATTGTTTCCCTTTATGTACCAGTTTTCAGATGAGGTGGTTCCCTAGCATCCTGCAAAGGTGACCGTTGAGTGTTTTGGCTGTTGTTTTTAGTAGTAGTATAAACTCTCATAGGTATAAATGTATTTGATGTGTTTCAGTCCATTGCAGGTATTATCTTTATTGCTGCTCAGACTGTCTCATCTTTGGCCAGTGGGTGGGCTCCTGAGTCCTTTTGACATATGTGACCCTGGTAGTCATTGATAGCTTCCTTGCTGTCTGATAGGATAAGATGTTCTGGCCTCATCTTGCTCATGTTGTGCCGCAGATCTGAAACCAGCCATTTCTCTAAGGAGCCATGGTTTCTTTTAATGGGAAACGCATTTAGAGACTATAATCTGGGTGCTGGTCCCTCATGGCCTTCATGGCCTTCATGGCTCCTGGGTTGGTCATTGGTTTATGCTTTTCCAGTAGACAGAGCTAGGAAATATGTATTTTTTAAAAAGTAAGACACTTGATAAATTCATGCAAATACTCCAATTCGAATTCAAGTTTATCTCCTTGATTTTACATCTTTACCTCATTTTAACCACGCCGGAACTCTTGTTTTTCAACAAAATTATCACAATTTCTCATTTGGTTTATCCCAGTGATAAATATGCAGTCTTTTCAGGATTATAATACCAACATCGCCACAAATAGTTTGGATAATAGTTTGTACTTAAGGTAGATTCTGCTAGGGATGTACAATTTAATTACTGTGCGTTAAAGTCATTTGGAATACTTTATTTCTTTGTAGATACCTCCAACTGGATATGTATTTGTGTTCATTTGTTTAATTTTTAGAGATTCCCTTTTTTAAAAAATTCATTGTTTTGTAATTATGTAATTTTTTAAAATAGTTCCATGGTCAAATCTCAAACCTAATTGTACTCAAAGAAGTGTCTTTCCCAGTGTTTCCTTACTTTTTCCCTCTCACACCCTATGTAGGTAGCCATATATGTATTTTTTTAATTTTGTGTGTTTAAAGTTAGTATATGAGAGTTCTTGCATACATGCAGAATGATTTAGTTGAAGTCTAATAATGTTGATTTTTTTTTTTTTTGTCATTTGTTTTGGTCCCTCTCTGTTCTTCATTTCTAATGTAATCAAAAATTAAGAGCTTGCTAGTAAAGAAAAAGTTTCATTCTTAAAGAACATTAATTCTGGTTCTTTGGTTTTTTTGTCACTGTGGGTAGGATGGGAGTTGTTCCTGCAAACATCTTATTATCGCTTAGGAATTTTTTCTATATCAAATGCTTATAATTCTTTTATAGGCTATTTATTAGAGTTAATAATTATAGTGAGTCTTCTAAAAATTCTGAACTATCTATTTTGAAGTTCTGTATTAAAACACTTTAAAATTGAGCCTAGTAACATCCATATTATAGGACATGATAGCTTAAGAGTTTATTATTTTAAAAATTAAATCCCTGGAACCATAGTTTGCTTCTCACATTTTTTGTTTTATGCAGAGGCTTTAGTTTTTAATGATTGTTATTTTTTGGTAAGACTAAAAGAGCCATCATTCAGCTTCTAATTGAAACTGAGTTTTAATGCATTGTCTTTCTTTTTATTTAGGTTTACAATCCAGTAATCATATTAACAGAGTAGTAAGTCATCCCACACTTCCTGTTACAATAACAGCTCATGAAGATAGACACATCAAATTTTTTGACAATAAAACGGGTAAGCAAGTTGTCTTATTTTCTTTTTATTCATATTAATTAGACTGTAATTTTAGATGAACAGAAAATGCTATTTTATGTAAGGTTTATTGAGTTTTTGGCTTTGAAATTACCAAATTAAATAATTGTAATTCAGACTTTTTACTTTGCATAATGTAGCATGCTTATAATGTATATTAAGTTTTATCTTTAAGTAATGTATATACTACCTTGTCTACCTAGTATGATTTCTTCATGTCTTGTTAGTTAAATATAAACCCTTTCATTTGAATTTTTTTCTTCATAGTGTTATGAATTAATGTAGGAGAAGAGGTCTCTTTTTTGTGTTTGACGTTTCACATATGTTCTTAAACTATTTTTCAATGAGTCAAATAATAATATAGTGGACAGTGTTGTCATTTCCCCTGTATTTCTTCTTATAAGGAAGCTTAGCAATTACATAGAAGTCAAATCAAAATTTAATTTAGCCACAGGTGTTTTTTGTTTGTTTCTTTTTGGTAAGGACATCTTTTTCATCTGTAATTGCCTAGAATTCTATAGAAAATATTACTTGTTCTCTTTTAGGAAAGGTCTGACAGCTAGAGAGGCTTCTTTGAGGAGAAGCTAAAACAAACAGGGGTATTGAAGGATTTCCAAATAAGAAATTTAAATGTAAATTGCAGCATTATTTCGGGTCAACAAACTATCAAGTAAGACAGTGAATCAGAATTACAGATTTCTCTTTGAAGGTTATTTAGGACATGGCATTAATTTTTTATCTTTAGAATCTTTCACAAAATCCCTTTCATTCAAGTAACACTTCAATGGACATATTCCTTTTCACTTCAGTAGAACAAGTTGGGAATAGAATGAATATTCACAGGTCTCCATATTACATAGGAAATAAGATTCATATTCATATGAATGTATTCAATTTAACACCTTATCAAATCAGTTTCTCGGAACCATTTTTATGAAGCCTAAAGATCTTCTTTGATGCAAGGGCAGAGAGGTCACTTAGTTTGTCATGTTTCTAAAAAGAGTCCTTTTTATTAACAAATGAAGATTTACATTCATAAGGGAAAGTTTAGGAATTTTAGAAGTTGGGTTAAAAGTAAAAATTGAATCTCTACAACTATTTTACTGGCAGAAATCAAGAAAGTGGTCTATAAAATTTTACCGAATAATAGACTTAAGAACCAGACGGTCTTTCAAATTGTTTCTAAATTGTACCAATTTATTTTTCTGTTATCCAGTACCTTACCTGAAGGTAAGGAGGCTGAGTGGCGTATGCGGTTTGTAGTTGGCCGCTAACCTAAAGGTTGGTGGTTCGAACCCACCAGCGGCTCTGCGGAAGAAAGGCCTAGTAGACTGCTTCTGTAGAGATTACAGCCAAGAAAACCCTAGGGAGCAGTTGTACTCTGTAACACATGGGGTCGCCATGAGTCAGAATCAACTGGATGGCAACAGGGCTGTTTTTTTTTTGCGGGGGGAGGGCAGGCATCTGTGAAGTTACTTAACGTGAAGATACTTTAAGCGGTAGGCTTCAGACTATGGAAAATCTTAATTCTTTCTGAATTAACCAACTTCTCTCTCTCTCTCACTCTCACTCTCACACACACACCCCACAACATTAAGTTATTTGTGTTCAAGTGTTTTGATTTCAAAGATACCGTCTTTGAAAGTTGATAATTCATTTAAATATGGTAAACTATAATACCTCGCATACATAACTAGTGTTTTTCACTAGCTATGTTGTTACTAGAGTATTATTCTTTAAAATGAGTAGTAAATTTATTGAACTTTTTATCTGAAACATAATAGAAATTGATACTATGAATGAATTCAGTAAATATTTAGATAAGTAAATCATTTTAACAAAAATGTATTCAGAATTTTGTATTCTGCACTATGCTGGATACTGTTATGTGTAAGCTATGGTTCCTACCTTCCGGGGGCTTATTGGTTGTTTGGAGGAATAGGACACACACGCGTGCGCACGCGCACACACACGCAGCAAGATGAATCCTACTAGATAGAAGACTGTATAGAATAGGGATTTGAGCTTTGCCTTGAGGGAATAATAAGAGGTTTTTTTTGTTTGTTTGTTTTTTTGATAGAAGGAAATTCTAAATAAGGGAACTTTTTTTTTTTTTTAATTGTACTTCAGGTGAAGGCTTACAGAACAAATAGTTTCTCATGAAACAGTAGTACACGTATTGTTTTATGACATTGGTTAACAACC